CGACAATGTTTAAATTCGCACATAAACGCGCGGCATTTAGACGAGGACGAAATCGAGTGGCACCACTGCACTTTGTGTGCTTTCAAGAGCAAAGATAAAGGCAGTTTGAAAAAACACATTAACGCACGGCATCTGGACGATCAAGACGCCAAGTGGTATGAATGTAAACAGTGCTCGTTTAGATGTAAATGCAACACGTATTTGAAGAGACACGTGAACGTTTGTCATTTGGACGCGAAGAACGCCAAGTGGTACGAATGTCAACAGTGTCCGTACAAGACTAGAGATAGTTCGAATTTGAGGAGGCATGTGTTAACCGTGCATTTGATTGGGAATGCATGCCATATGAAGGGAAATGAGGTCAAATGGTTCAATTGTGAAAAATGTCAATACAAAACAAAAACGCGCCCATATTTAAAGAAACACATAAAAGCGCGGCATTTGGAGGACTAAAAAGTCTAATGTACTTTCAAAACTAAGAACAAAAGTAATTTGTGAAGATTTTTTTTTGTACTTTCCAATATTAATAAAGTTTTTGCATTAATTACCCTTTGCAATATTTGGTGTGTGTATTGTGTGTTGCATAAATGAAACGTCAAATCGTAGTATAGATATCTATACTGTAGTTTGGGCATAGATTAATATAGATGCGACATACAGTCTGATTTTGCAAAACCACCCTTATTGACATTGGAGTCCTCAAGCGCCAAATTTAATAGTCGATGCCAATAAAAAAACTTGTTTTCAATACACTGTATGATATTAACAGTGAGAAAAAAAATGAAAAATTAAAATAATCGAAAATTTGAAAAATCGAAACCTTCAAAAATCGTAAAACCGAAACATTGAAAAATCGAAATATCGAAGAACTGAAAATCGAAAAATGAAACATCAGAAAATCGAAAAAATGTAAAATTCAAAAATCTAAAATTTAAAAATCAAATAACGAAAAATTGAGAAAAAGTTGAAACTCCCAAATTTAAAAAGTCGGATAACTGAGAAACCGAAACATCGAAAAACTGGAAAATCGAAAAACCGAGAAATCGAAAAATCAAAAGATCAAGACATCATGGAGTCAAAAAGTCGAAGAATTGAGAAACCGAAATAGGTCAAAATCGAAAAATCGAAAAGTTAAAAATTGAACAATTTATAAATTGACAATCAAAATATCGGAAAATCCAAATCTCGATAAATCGAGAAATCAAAAAACTTAAAATTCGAAAAATTGAAAAATTGAGAGATTGAATGATCAAAAGAACGAGAAATCGAAAAGTTATGAAGTCGAAAAATTGAAAAATAGAGAAATCGACAAACAAAAAGTTAAAAGTTGAAAAATTGGAATAGCGGAAAAATAAAAAAAAACGAAAAAATGGAAAACTGGAAAAAATGATAAACCGAAATAGACCAAAATAAAAAATTGAAAAACTGATAAATCGAAAACCTGAAAAAATTGCAAAAACAAAAATTGAGAGTTTACAAAAATCAAATTTGAAAAATTAAAAAATCGAAAATTTGACAAAATGACAATTGAAAAACAGAAAATCTAAAACCGGGTAGTCGAAAAATCATAAGATTAAGATACCGAAACATTCGAAAACTTGAAAAATTGAAATATCGCAGAACTGAAATGAAAAATCGAAGAATATAAAACTTTAAAAATTAAAAAATCTAAAATTTAAAAATCGAAAAATCGAAAAGTAAAAAAATCGACACATCTAAAAATCCACGAGTCAAAAATCGAAAAGTCGAAGAATCAAAATATTGAAAAATCCCAAAACTGAAATATCGAAAAACTGAAAATTGAAAGAAAAACTGAAAAATGGGAAAACCTGAAAAATCCGAAAACTGAAATATCTAAAAACTGAGAACCTAAAAAGTCAAAAAATTGAGCAATCGAAAAATCCATAAAGTGAAGTCGAAACTTTAAAAAATCGAAAAATTGAAAGATCAAACACCTGAAAAATCAAAAAATTAAAGAATTGAAAAACAGGAAAATCAAAACATCGATTAATTGGAAAATCTAAAAATTGAGAGTTTATAAAAGTCAAATTTGAAAAATTAAAAAATCGAAAAGTTGCCAAATGACAATTGAAAAACAGAAAATCTAAAACCGGGTAGTCGAAAAATCAAAAGATTAAGAAATGGAAACATTGGAAACATTCGAAAACTTGAAAAATTGAAATATCGCAGAACTGAAATGAAAAATCGAGAAATCGAAAAATCTAAACTTTAAAAATTAAAAAATCTAAAATTTAAAAATCGAAAAGTTGAAGAATCAAAATATTGAAAAATACCAAAACTGAGATATCGAAAAACTGAAAAATGGGAAAACCAGAAAAAGCCGAAAACTGAAATATCCAAAAACTGAGAACCTAAAAAGTCAAAAAATTGAGCAATCGAAAAATCCATAAAGTGAAGTCGAAAAATCGAAACCTTAAAAAAACTAAAAAATGAAAAATCAAAAACCTGAAAAATCGAAAAATTAAAGAATTGAACAGGAATATCGAAATCCTCGAAAGTCAAGAAATGGGAAAATCAAAACATCGATTAATTGAAAAATCGAAAAATTAACAGTTTATAAATGTCAAATTTGAAAAATTGAAAAATCGAAAATTTGACAAAATGATATGTGAAAAACAGAAAATCTAAAACCGAGAATTCGAAAAATCAAAAGATTAAGAAATCGAAACATTTGAAAAATTCGAAAACTTGAAAAATTGAAATATCGAAGAACTGAAATGAAAAATCGAGAAATCGAAAAATCTAAAATTTTAAAAATTAAAAAATCGAAAATTTAAAAATCGAAAATTTGAAAAATCAAAAAGTTGAAGAATCAAAATATTGAAAAATCCCAAAACTGAGATATCGAAAAACTGAAAAATGAAAGAAAAACTGAAAAATGGGAAAACCTGAAAAATCCGAAAACTGAAATATCCAAAAACTGAGAACCTAAAAAGTCAAAAAATTGAGCAATCGAAAAATCCATAAAGTGAAGTCGAAAAATCGAAACCTTAAAAAACTAAAAAATGAAAAATCAAAAACCTGAAAAATCGAAAAATTAAAGAATTGAACAGGAATATCGAAATCCTCGAAAGTCAAGAAATGGGAAAATCAAAACATCGATTAATTGAAAAATCGAAAAATTAACAGTTTATAAATGTCAAATTTGAAAAATTGAAAAATCGAAAATTTGAAAAAATGACATGTGAAAAACAGAAAATCTAAAACCGAGAATTCGAAAAATCAAAAGATTAAGAAATCGAAACATTTGAAAAATTCAAAAAGTTGAAAAATTGAAATATCGCAGAACTGAAATGAAAAATCGAAAAATCTAAAATTTTAAAAATTAAAAAATCTAAAATTTAAAAATCGAAAATTTGAAAAATCGAAAAGTTGAAGAATCAAAATATTGAAAAATCCCAAAACTGAGATATCGAAAAACTAAAAAATGAAAGAAAAACTGAAAAATGGGAAAAAAAGAAAAAGCCGAAAACTGAAATATCCAAAAACTGAGAACCTAAAAAGTCAAAAAATTGAGCAATCGAAAAATCCATAAAGTGAAGTCGAAAAATCGAAACCTTAAAAAACTAAAAAATAAAAAATCAAAAACCTGAAAAATCGAAAAATTAAAGAATTGAACAGGAATATCGAAATCCTCGAAAATCAAGAAATGGGAAAATCAAAACATCGATTAATTGAAAAATCGAAAAATTAACAGTTTATAAATGTCAAATTTGAAAAATTGAAAAATCGAAAATTTGACAAAATGACATGTGAAAAACAGAAAATCTAAAACCGAGAATTCGAAAAATCAAAAGATTAAGAAATCGAAACATTTGAAAAATTCGAAAAGTTGAAAAATTGAAATATCGCAGAACTGAAATGAAAAATCGAGAAATCGAAAAATCTAAAATTTTAAAAATTAAAAAATCTAAAATTTAAAAATCGAAAAAGGAAAAAAGTCGACACATCGGAAAATCCAGGAGTCAAAAATCGAAAAGTCGAAGAAGAATCAAAATAATGAAAAATCCCAAAACTGAGATATCGAAAAACTGAAAAATGAAAGAAAAACTGAAAAATGGGAAAACCTGAAAAATCCGAAAACTGAAATATCCAAAAACTGAGAACCTAAAAAGTCAAAAAATTGAGCAATCGAAAAATCCATAAAGTGAAGTCGAAAAATCGAAACCTTCAAAAAACTAAAAAATGAAAAATCAAAAACTTGAAAAATCGAAAAATTAAAGAATAGAACAGAAATATCGAAACCCTCGAAAGTCAAGAAATGGGAAAATCAAAACATCGATTAATTGAAAAATCGAAAAATTAACAGTTTATAAATGTCAAATTTGAAAAATTGAAAAATCGAAAATTTGAAAAAACGACAATTGAAAAACAGAAAATCTAAAACCGGAAAGTCGAAAAATCGAAAGATTAAGAAATCGAAACATTTGAAAAATTGAAATATGGAAGAGCTAAAATGAAAAATCGAGAAATAGAAAAATCTAAAATTTTAAATATTGAAAAATTAAAATACAAAAAAATTGAGAAATCTAAAAATCGAAAAAGTAAGAAGTCGACACATCGAAAAATCCAGAAGTCAAAAATGGAAAAGTCGAAGAACAGAAATATTGAAAAATCCCAAAACTGAAATATCCAAAAACTGAGAATCTAAAGAATCGAAAAATTGGAAAATCAAAAATCTGCAAAATCGTAAGGTCGAAAAATTGAATAATAAGTAAACTGAAAAATCCTAAAACTGAAATGTCGAAAAACTGAGAAATTAAAAAATTTCAAAATTGAGAAATCGAAAAATCAAAAAAATGAAGTTGAAAAATCGAAACCTGAAAAAATAGAAAAATTGAAAAGCTAGTTAATTTTATTCCTAGTTAGAAACGAACACTGTTGCCAACATAAGTCGAGGAGTCCTCAACCGTCATTTAATTTAAACTATGACGCTTCTCTATGTTCTCTGGTTTGGGTCTATATTAAATCAATACTCGTTACGTCACACAGTTTATTAACTTGGAATTTTTTCATACAGCATAACCTACATATTAGTTTGTACAGACACATCTTCAATACTCATTTGTACCATTCCACACCTTCTCCACGACACTCTTGGCATTTGTATTATTTCTCATGCTTTTTATCTGAATGGCACCGATTCATATGAAGGTTTAAATACCTTTTCAGTTTAGCCTTATACGGGCAATATTGGCATTGAAACGATTTAATCTCCACATGGCGCGCAGTTATGTGCTTTTTTAGACTATCTTTAATTTTAGTTTTAAACGAACAGACCGCACATTCGTACCACTGAATCTCTTCGTCCAAATGTCGATAATTCACATGTTTTCTTAAATACGGCATGCGTGTGGTTTTGAATGAGCAATTTTGGCATTCGTACCACTTAACGCTTTCTTCGTTTCGATGTTTCACACTCACGTGATCATTTAAGCTTGATTTATACTTAGTTTTGAATGAACATTCTTTGCATTCGTACCATTTAACGTCTTCATCCTTCGAGTGTTTGTTATTTATGTGCCTTTTTAAATGGGACTTGATCTTAGTCCTAAATATGCATTTTTCACACTTGTGCCATTCGCTATCTTGGTCGTTTAAATGGGTACGATTTATGTGTTTTTTCAAATCTGGTTTGTGTTTAGTTTTGAATGGGCACTGAACACACTCGTACCTTTTAATATCGCTTTCGTGGATGTAGAGGTGTTCATTTAATTGATTTTTCAATTTAGTCTGAAATGGACAATATTGGCACTGGAACGATTTGGCATTTGAATAGTGGATCGTTTGATGTATTTTTAAATTGTCTTTTCTTTTAGTTTTATATGAACAGCTGCAACATTTGTACCACTTAATTTCACCTTCATCAGTATGTTTACAAGTGATATGATTTTTTAAATGCGACTTTGATTCAGTTTTGTATGGGCACTTTTTACATTCGAACCACTTAGTTTTTTTATTTAGATGTATTTCACTCACGTGCATTTTTAAATATCTTTTCCATCTTGTTTTAAACGAACACTGTTTGCATTCGTGCCATGTAACATCTTGTTCATCTAAATAGGCCATATTTTCTATACGACGGTTTAAATTATATAAATCCCTTTGTATAAAATAGGAAGAAAATATGAATCTCTGCTCCCTCTTCTTCTTCTTTCCTAAGCATGCTGAAGTATGCTCAATCCACTTTAACAAGAAATTTGTTTTGAAATCACAGTCGCAAATGTAGTTCTGAATGGAGAAATCCTCACTTGATACATCTTCCCCAGATTTTCTTTTGCTGTGATGTTTATCAATGTGTTGCTTGAACAAAACTGTTAGTTCCGTTTTAAAATTGCAGTCTTTACAGTAATACGATTCAATTTTGGCGTTTTCGCACTTAAATTTTTCCAGAGACGAGCGGTGTCCCCTGACGTGGTTCACCATAAGAAAAAAGGATGTCGAAAAATACGGACATAGTTTACAGTTGTGCACGTTTTTCCACGAAGATATTCCCGGTGGCGAGAGTGCGTTCGAATATTCCAAAGTTGGCATTTCGGTGCCTAAAATCGTTTTATTACACTATACATATAAGCAGTTGCAGTTTTAGTTACCTGAATCTCGTTGATTACGATCCGAATTATGTTCTGAGTGCATTCCGAAAAGGTTCTAACCTAACAAAACAGCAAACAACCTTATGTCACTCGAATCGTTCATCAGATGCAATCACTATTAGTTGACGTGTTGCACTAAAAATAATGTTATTCCTAATACAAACAACATTTGACTTTCCACGTGTGTTCTGTCGTTTTTGAAATTATTTTTAATGGAAAGCATTGAATTAGAAAAAAGATGTAACGTCGATATCTTCACGGAAGAGGGCTAGTCTGCGCGGAAGAGTAACCTAATGGACATCTGTCCTGTCACTGTATTCCACCAACCTCTCCAGTAAAAAACCCTAGATAGTTAAGTGGTTTTCTGAGCATACGGTATTTGTGCCTAAGAACCTGTATGTATGCGCATGCCTGAGGTGTCATTGAAAAACCCGGTAAATTCAAACGTAGGTGTTTACACTTGTCATTTAAAAAATGTGGCAAATTGAAATATATGTAATCTCATCGAATTACCAAATGGATTAACCCCCAGTTATCACAACAGAATTAGTATCGAAATGATAAATATAATTCATAATAAGTTGATCATCGTTTGTGTTTGCGTATAACCTGCCTTAAAATTTAATATTAATGTACTTAGGTTCACACCAAAAACTGTATAATCATGCTTTCCTCCAGACATACCTACTTGCATTGAATAACCAACGTATGTGATTATAATTGTATATGATTATTGCGTCTTTTACCCAACATAATGAAACTTAATAATACAACTTTAGTTTTTTTAAATAATTAATGTGCTATTTCAATCAAGCGTAACATACAAAAAACGCATAAAATAGAAATGTATTTGTAAAAAAATTGTATTTGCTTTATAGATATAATCTGAATCAACAAAAAATACAACAACAGAATTCATCTTTACCTAACAGAAAAATAGATTGTAATAGTAGCAGTAATAAAAATTATAATTACTAAATTGTAGAAATAAAATTTTCATCCTATTATTTATAAAGGTGATTCTATGAGAACGTATTAATAACTCATGTTACAAAAATCCACTCATTTTTACTAGTGTTGCTTCATATTTCTTCACTTACGGGATAATATTGCTGCGTCTCTTGCACTCTTTTCTTTGTTAAAGTCTTCTCGTTTTTTTTTCTTAACCATCCATCAATATTGCTCATCAGTTCTTTAAAATCATCTATGTTAAGTGCATTCAAAGTGTTATTAAGTGACTCCTGCTTTAATTTTCGAAAAGTTTCATCATCCAATGGCAACGGTGTTTGCTGATTATTTTCTATTAACATTTTTACTTCTTCATTTTTCTGCATATCACAATAATTGTGTTCATTTTCTGTTTCCATTAGTACTCTCTTGCAATAATTATGTTCTTCTAGATCTGTAAAAGTGTCTTTAGTCTGCCCTAACCCACATTCATACCGTTCCCTTTCAAACAAAGCAACCATATGCATGTTATTTTTTACCATAAACTCAGGATACTGGCATTTATAATGATGCAAACAGATTTGGCAAACTACACAATACATGAGCCTACAATCATTTCTACACACTCTGTCTCCATACACAACCTTATAAATCTTACTGGAATTAGATCTTACTGAAAACTCTCCAAAACCAACTTCCTCCACCATATTTTGTAAATTTTCTGCTTTTCTATGTCTGTCTCTTACAATTCTGCTTTGATACGTTTCTGTAGAAGGTCTTTCTGTTTCTATTATTCTGTTCCATTCCTTGTCTTCCACTACTCTGTCTAACATATCCAATAACTTCTCTATTGTATTATTTCTCTTCTTATTCAACTCATCATATTTAATAAATTTGTTCAGACTTTCAATTCCCATATTTGTATTAATCCCAGCATTTAGTCTGTAACAGTGAGCCCACATTTTAATACGTTCCATATTCTGAAAATAATGTTTTTTTAAATAATTCAAAAAATTAATTTCCCCCGCTTCAAAAAGTATCTGAAAATAACTGTCGTATAGCTCTTTAAATTTATCTTCATTTGTTTCCTTTAAAATTTTTCCCATCTCGGTCTTCATATTTTTCTTCAATTCTGTATTTTTTAATTTTGCTTGAATGTTCCAATTTTTTATAATAATAATAATATGCCAACTACACAATAAATGTCTTGGTTTTGTTTCCATAACGTTTATCCATGCATTATAATATTTTGGGTCATCATCTGTCATAAAATAGGTGGGACATAATTTTTCACCAACTTTTTTCTTTAAAGCATCTAAAAAAATTTCAAAAATTAACTGATCTTTTCTACTAGACACTAAAAATGCAACGGGAAAACCAACACCCCTATCATCTTTAACTAAAACTGTTGTTAACTCCCATCCTCTAATATTTGTGTTGTGCGTCCCATCCATACAAATAATATTTGTGAATTGTTTCAATTTAGATTCCATCACCTGGTTCATAAAGCCCACTGCAAAATCTTCATTTCCAAGAATGGAATGCCTTTCCCCTACAAGCCAAGCTAAGCATGTGCTAAACAACCAACACCACCAACTACAATCTACATGCATGAATATTTCTCTTAATTCACAGATTTTAAACAAAAATTTTAATTGTAAAAAAACCACATGCTAACAAAATAATAAATCATATACATTACCAATTTGTTTAAATAAAAACCCATAATTTTGGCCACTTTGATTCCATTCATGGAAAACCTTTATTGTGTGTTGCAGCCATATCATCAGCATTTCTAGTTTTCGATAAACTTTGACTCATGTTTCTCAAATCCATTTTTGTTAATAAGTGTAGTCTTTCCAATTTATCCCCTTTAATGGTCCGAGCATCTTCTAATATTCTCTTTTTACATACTTCATTCTTCAATTTTGAATAAATTTCTTGTTTTTCATTTTTTGTCAACCCTTGATATCTCAGCTCATCTTCATGTCCTACATGTGTTTTTATATATTTAATTTTCACTGTTCCTATAAACAATTGATGCAATTAATATACAGTAAAGTGTGCACATAGATAACATACCTTCATCAAAAATTTTTGCAGTGATTCTTGATGGACAAGTACCACAGATTTTCTTGCAACCCCCTGCCTTTGGAAATCTCTTAAACGCTTTACTTTCATAGCCTAAAATGTCCAATAATACAATATATTCTTAACAAATTACAATAATAATGTACCATTGTAGCTTCTGTTGCAGTTATAATATATCAGCTGATAGCGGTAACGCACATCTTTCTTTTGCTTTCGACTAATATATTTAACATCTCTTCGTTCTTCGCAAATCCAATTTTTAAAATCTTCATGACTTAGTATCAATTCTTCTACCTCTAATGTTATATTATGCTTTATTTCAAGATGAGTTTTGAGTTCTTCATGGGATTTCAAGTTTCTCTCTGGTTCATCTCCACACAATGGACAAAAAATCTTTGTTTTGCAAATCCTACCAACACTTTGATCACGGTGAAAACGCCTAAAATGTCTATTCCTGGAAGTAACAAAATTAAATTGTTTGTCACAGACAGAACACTTTATGGATTCCATTCTGGAAGAATATAGAAAAAGCGCGTTCAGACCATGGTAGAAGGAGACATGGTATAGGCATCCGATGTACCAATTTAAAAATGGTCTGCGCATCCATTTGTGACGTTAGGTGGCATCAACGACCTTGTGACTCTTGTGAGCTTCGCTAGGGAAGTCTAGGGAATTTCAGCTTGAGTTGTCAGTGCTCTGTCCAATACGTCAATTAGTTGTCGGATAACGAATTGTATTTTAAATTTCGCGCTAATTTCACCCCACTTGACGTCACACCCGATGCGTATGCCTATACCATGTCTCCTTCTACCATGGTTCAGACTATAGTGACAGCAATTAATGATGTTTTGCCTTTCCCGCCTTTTTGTAATGACACTAGAGTTAGGGATTTTTTCAGGCCAACTGTTTTTCGAAGTTGGCAGTCCTGAATGTTCTTATGCACCAATACCGTATGCTGGTTTTCTGTCTGTGCATCTATGGTTTCATAACCTACAAAAATTTCAATCTGTTAGATTTATCACAGGTGAGAATTTCCAATTTTAACTAATTGCAACTGCCTCTCTCTAGTGTAATCAAACGGTTTTAGGCAATCAAAATGTTAATATTGAAGTCGGAATCTTCAAAGAAAAATGTTCACAACTGCACTCAATGCCCCTATTTTACAACGTCACGATTTCTTTTAATGAATCACGTGCGACGACACCGATCTAAGGAAAAATTTACATGTTCTAATTCAAAAATTGAAGTTTATTACTGTAGAGACTGCCATTTTCAAACGGAATTAATGGTTGTGTTCAAACAACACTTTATTCAATATCACGGCCCTAAGAGAGAATCTAGAGACAATTTATCAAGTGGGGACTTCAGCATACAAAATTACGTTTGCGAAAATTGCGACTTTCGAACAAATTTCTCACTAAAGTGGCTTCAGCACACTTCCGAATGCACAGGGAAGAAACTAATTCTTTCTCGACGTGTGATTTACGTCAGAAAGAAACGATACGCTTGTGACAAGTGTTCATTTAAAAGTGCGGATAATGAAGGCTTAAGGAATCACATAAATCGTGTCCATTTAGATGAACAAAGTGCTGAATGGTACAAGTGTGAACAATGCCCATTTAAAACAAAAGTCAAAAGAAGTTTAAAAGGGCACATAAATCGCTTACACGTGAACGAACGAGACGTTAAATGGCACCAGTGTAAAGAGTGTTCATATAAAACTAAAGCGAAGTCGGATTTAAGAGTACATATAATTCGGAAACACTTGGACGAAGAACAGATAAGGTGGTACGAATGTGAACATTGCCCATTCAAAACTAAACACTCAGATAGTTTGAAAAAACATGTAATTGCGAAACATGTGAACAAAAAAAAAGTGAAGTGGTACGACTGTGGAGATTGCTCGTTCAAAGCTAAAACCAAAGTTAATTTAAAAGAGCATCGAAAGGTCCATTTGGTGTCCAAATCCAAATCGCATCAATGCGAAAATTGTCCATATAAATCGAATCGCCGGGGTAATTTAAGGCGTCATATAAATAGCTGCCATTTGAATGGAATTGAAGCTAAATGGTACGAATGCGGGCAGTGTCCTTACAAAAGTAAAACTAAATCATGTTTATATAAACACAAAAAAAAACACGTGTCGGATTTAGTTGATGTGTGATTGTATTAAGTTGTATGTATATAATTATATTTGAAATAAAATTTCAAATTGCGCTAGTTTGGATTTGACCTCATGACTTTTTTACGATTTGTTAATGACCATTCGCAACGTTGCCAGATGCCATGAGCAAAAACGAAGTGTCATTTTTGACGTAATCGCTTGCTTATAAAAGACTGGTTGGAAAAAGTTAAAGTTAGCCCCGCCCTCCCACCCGTTGTCTCATTGTTTTCTTTTGAAATAAATAAATCTTATAGCAAGAAGTACAACAGAAAACATTACGATTATAGCTTTTTTTACTTCTTATTAATTCACTTCCCACTCTACAGAAGAACAAACAGTTAAATCGAAAAAATGTAAAATTCAAAAAAGGAATAACGAAAAATTGAGAAATCGAAACTCCCAAATTTAAAAAGTCGGATAACTGAAAAATCGAAACATCGAAAAGTCAAAAGATCAAGAAATCATGGAGTCGAAAAGCCGAAGAATTGAGAAACCGAAATAGGCCAAAATCAAAAAGTTAAAAACTGAACAATCTATAAATTGACAATCAAAATATCGGAAAATCCAAATCTCGATAAATCGAGAAATCAAAAAACTTAAAATTCGAAAAATTGAAAAATTGAGAGATTGAATGATAAAAAGAACGAGAAATCGAAAAGTGATGAAGTCGAAAAATGAAAAAATAGAGAAATCGACAAACAAAAAGTTAAAAGTTGAAAAATTGGAAACGCGGAAAAATAAAAAAAACGAAAAAATGGAAAACTGGAAAAAAAACTGACAAATCGAAAACCTGAACAATCAAATCACGATAAATCGGGAATGAAAAATTACCAAATCGAAAAATTGAAAAATGGAACATCTAAAACCAGGAAGTCGAAAAATCGAAAGACTAAGAAATATTGAAAAACTAAAATATCAAAAGATTGAACGATCTAAAATTTAAAAATCCAAAAATTGAAAAATCGAAAAAGTAAAACACATCGAAAAATCCAGAAGTCAAAAATAGAAAAGTCGAAGAATTGAAATATTGAAAAATCCTAAAACTGAAATATCTAAAAACTGAAAAATCGAAAAATCAAAAAAGTGAAGTCGAAAAATAGACTAAACCTTAAAAAATCGAAAAATTGAAAAATTAAAAACCTGAAAAATCAAAAAATTAAAGAATTGAAGAACAGAAAAACCGAAACACTCGAAGGTCAAGAAATGGGAAAATCAAAACATCGATTAATTGAAAAATCGAAAAATTGAGAGTTTATAAAAGTCAAATTGGAAAAATTAAAAAATCGAAAATTTGACAAAATGACATGTGAAAAACAGAAAATCTAAAACCGCGAATTCGAAAAATCAAAAGATTAAGAAATCGAAACATTTGAAAAATTCGAAAACTTGAAAAATTGAAATATCGAAGAACTGAAATGAAAACTCCAGAAATCGAAAAACCTAAGATTTTAAAAATTAAAAAATCTAAAATTTAAAAATCGAAAAATTTAAATAATCGAAAAAGTAAAAAAGTCGACACCTTGAAAAATCCAGGAGTCAAAAATCGAAAAATCTCAAAACTGAGATATCGAGAAACTGAAAAATGAAAGAAAAACTGAAAAATGGGAAAACCTGAAAAATCCGAAAACTGAAATATCCAAAAACTGAGAACCTAAAAAGTCAAAAAATTGAGCAATCGAAAAATCCATAAAGTGAAGTCGAAACCTTAAAAAATCGAAAAATTGAAAGATCAAAAACCTGAAAAATCAAAAAATTAAAGAATTGAAGAACAGGAATATCGAAACCCTCGAAAGTCAAGAAATGGGAAAATCAAATTTGAAAAATTGAAAAATCGAAAATTTGAAAAAATAACAATTTAAAAACAAAAAATCTAAAACCGGATAGTCGAAAAATCAAAAGATTAAGAAATGGAAACATTCGAAAACTTGTGAAAATTGAAATATCGCAGAACTGAAATGAAAAATCGAGAAATCGAAAAATCTAAAACTTTAAAAATTAAAAAATCTAAAATTTAAAAATCGAAAAATTGAAAAATCGAAAAAGTAAAAACGATACATCGAAAAATCCAATAGTCAAAAATCGAAAAGTCGAAAAATCAAAATATTGAAAAATCCCAAAACTGAGATATCGAAAAACTGAAAAATGAAAGAAAAACTGAAAAATGGGAAAACCTGAAAAATCCGAAAACTGAAATATCCAAAAACTGAGAACCTAAAAAGTCAAAAAATTGAGCAATCGAAAAATCCATAAAGTGAAGTCGAAAAATCGAAACCTTAAAAAAACTAAAAAATCAAAAATCAAAAACCTGAAAAATCGAAAAATTAAAGAATTGAACAGGAATATCGAAACCCTCGAAAGTCAAGAAATGGGAAAATCAAAACATCGATTAATTGAAAAATCGAAAAATTAACAGTTTATAAATGTCAAATTTGAAAAATTGAAAAATCGAAAATTTGAAAAAACGACAATTGAAAAACAGAAAATCTAAAACCGGAAAGTCGAAAAATCGAAAGATTAAGAAATCGAAACATTTGAAAAATTGAAGTATGGAAGAGCTAAAATGAAAAATCGAGAAATAGAAAAATCTAAAATTTTAAATATTGAAAAATTAAAATACAAAAAAATTGAGAAATCTAAAATTTAAAAATCGAAACAGTAAAAAGTCGACACATCGAAAAATCCAGAAGTCAAAAATGGAAAAGTCGAAGAACAGAAATATTGAAAAATCCCAAAACTGAAATATCGAAAAACTGAAAAATAACAGAAAAACTGACGAATCGAAAAACTGAAAAATCCCAAAACTGAAATATCCAAAAACTGAGAATCTAAAAAATCGAAAAATTGAAAAATCAAAAATCTGCAAAATCGTAAGATCGAAAATTGAATAATAAGTAAACTGAAAAATCCTAAAACTGAAATGTCGAAAAACTGAGAAATTAAAAAATTGAGAAATCGAAAAATCAAAAAAGTGAAGTTGAAAAATCGAAACCTGAAAAAATAGAAAAATTGAAAAGCCAAAAAACCTGAAAAATCAATTAATTAAAAAATCGACAAATAAGGAGTTTATAAAAGTCAAAAATTGATAAATAGGAGTAAACTGAAAAGTCCCCAAACTAAAATTTCGAAAAACTGAGAATTCGAAAGTTGAAACAGCAAGAAATTATAGGTTAGGATGTGTATCAGATCATGGATCGTGGCTTATAAATCAAATCGTTTCCGAACGCTTAGAGTCGACATTGGCCTGAGTGCGCTCTGGTCTGTAGATCAAACAAGTTCTCAGACGACGAACTGTAATTCGTGTGACCTGAATTAGAGTGAAGAAAACAGTAAGCAGCTTGTAATATTCTGATAAATCTAGTGTCAATTTGTCGAAACTAAAACGCGTCGTTAAAAATATTATTACATTTTTTCGAGTTAGTTTTATTCCTAGTTAGAAACGAACACTGTTGCCAACATAAGCCGAGGAGTCTTCAACCGTCATTTAATTTAAACTATGAGCCTTCTCTATGTTCTCTGCTGTAGTTACGTTGTCGTCGACGTTGAGTTTTCAACCAATCAAATTGCGGTGGCATACAGTGCTGCCAACTTGAAGGAAAATCCCCTGAAGTAGGTGGAACATTTTTCTAGTTGACAGCACTAACACTGTAGCTTTTTGTCAGTACTTATGAATTCTTATAAAGATAGTTCTCGACGTTTAAATCAACAAAATTTATTGATATTTGTCTCAAGGGCTTACATTTTACCCTTATACAACAAGAAAGGTAAAACATACGGCGAATAAAAAAAAATCGTCAGAATTGAGAGAGGGCGGGTGGGTGGGGCTTATATTTTGCCTTCTTTTTCTTAACACAGATAGCCTTCTTTTCACAACAAAAAACTTCAAACATTCGGAGCCTAATTGCAAAATCGATATTTCCTTATACAAATTTTCCATTTTAAACTTCATATTATGCAAAAAGTCTACACATATTAAAATAAAAAGGCAAAAAGAAAAACAACAAAATATTAACTGACGGTTATTGTAGATGACATTTAACAAAAAATACAGTTAAGGCAATTTTTGTGTATACTTGGTTGCATAACCAAAATGAAGATAAATAACAACAAATTTTAGTTCTAGCTCGACCCTCGTTGCTCCTTCTATATTAAATCAATTCTCTTTACGTTACAGTTTATTAACTTGGAACTTTTCATGTGGCATAACCTAATAGTTTGTACAAAAATATCTTCAATACACTTTTGTACAATTCCACACCTTCTTAATCCATTTTCAATTCACTGCTATAAGAACAATATTTGGATCAATGCTTAACCCTCATGTGCTTCTTTAAAGACGAACTAGTTCTAGTTTTGAAAGAACACTCTTCACACTCGTACCATTTAACACGCTTTCCATCTGGATGACACTGCTTCACGTGACACTTTAAATAACTTTTCAGTTTAGCCTTATACGGGCAATATTGGCACTGAAACGATTTAACCTCTAAATGGCGCAGAGTGATGTGCGTTTTCAAATTACCCTTCGTTTTAGTTTTATACGAACACGCCGCACATTCGTACCACTGAACCTCTTCATCCAAATGTCGATAAGCCACATGTTTTTTTAAATACGACAAGCGTTTGGTTTTGAATGAGCACTTGTCGCATTCGTGCCACTTGATATTTTCCTCGTTTAGATGTTTTATATTCACGTGTACTTTCAAATTCATTTTATACTTAGTTTTGAACGAACACTCTTTGCATTCGTGCCATTTAACGTCTTCGTCGTTCGAGTGCACGGTTTTCATGTGCTTTTTTAAATGACCTTTGAATTTAGACCTAAATGGGCATTTTTCGCACGTGTGCCATTCGATATCTTGTTCGTCTAAATGATTACGATTTATGTGATTTTTTAACTCCGATCTGCGTTTAGTTTTAAATTGGCACTGATTGCATTTGTACCATTTAACTTCTTCGTCGTTCAAGTGCACGTCGTTTGTGTGTCGTTTTAAATGGGCTTTGAATTTGGTTCTAAATGGGCATTTTTCACACTCGTACCATTTGGCATCTTGTTGGTCTAAATGGGTATGGTTTATGTGTTTGTTTAAATTTGGTTTGCGTTTAGTTTTGAACGGGCATTGATCGCATTCGTACCATTTAGCGTCTTCGTCGTTCCAGTGCACGGTATTTATGTGCTTTCTTAAATGGGGCTTGAATTTAGCTCGAAATGGGCATTTTTCACACTCGTACCATTCGGAACCGTGTTCGTCTGAATGCATACGATCTATGTGTCTTTCTAAATGAAATTTGCGTTTAGCTTTGAATGGGCACTGATTACATTCGTACCATTTAAGATCGCTTTCACCCAAATGGCGTTTGTAGAGGTGATCGTTTAAACGATGGTTCAATTTAGTCTTGTACGGACAATATTTGCACTCAAACACTTCGGCATCTGAATGGTGGACTTTTACATGTACTTTTAAAGTGTATTTTTTTTTACTTTTATACGAACAGCTGTCACATTCGTACCACTTCATTTCTTCTCCTTTAGTATGTTTATCAATTATATGATTTTGTAAATGCAACACCCATTGGGTTTTGTATGGGCAATTTTTACATTCCAACCAATCAATTTTTTTTTGTTGATGTTTTTCACTCACGTGGATTTCTAAATTTCTTTTACACCTAGTTTTAAATGGACAATCTTTGCATTCGTGCCATGTAACATCTTGTTGGACCGTATTTTCTACACGACGTTTTAAATTATATAAATCCGTTTGTGTAAAATTGGAAGAAAATACGAATCTCTCTTCGTTCTTCTTCTCTCCTGGGCATGCTGAAGTATGCTGAAGACACTTTAACAACGAATTTGTTCTGAAATCACACTCGCAAAAGTACGTCTGAATGCACAAATCCTCACTCGATACATCTTCGCCAGATTTTCTTTTAACGCTGTGATGTTTATCAATGTGTTGTTTGAACACAACCGTTAGTTCCGTTTTAAAATTGCAGTCTTTACAGTAATACCACTCAAGTTTGCCGTTTTCGCACTTAAATTTTTCCAGAGATGAGCGGTGTCGCCTCACGTGGTTCACCATAAGAAAAAAGGAAGTCGAAAAATATGGACATAGTGTACAGTTGGGCACGTTTTTCCACGAAGATATTCCCTGTAGTGAAAGTGCGTCCGAATATTCCAAAGTTGGCATTTCGGTGCCTAAAATCGTTTTATTACACTATACATATAATTAATTGCAGTTTTAGTTACCTGAATTTCGTTGATTACAATTCGAATTTTGGTCTGCGTACATTCTAAGGAGTCAAGTTCTAACCTAACAAAATAGCTGTCACTTGAATCGTTCACCGGATGCAATCACTATCATTTGACGTGTTGCACAAAAATAATACTAATATTAATAACATTGTTTCCGATTTGACTTTCCAAGTCTGTTTTCTCGTTTTTGAAATTATTTACGCATTGAGTTAGAAAAAAGTTTGTAATTATTTATATTTTCGCGGTCGCTGTATCCACCAACCTCTCCAGTGAAAAACCCTAGATAACATCTAGGGGAAATGAGTGGGTTCGTTCCAGACGCGTCACGACGCACCCCTTAATTTACACCGTCGTTCCTGAAGGTACCACAAAACAATACGCACCTGCTTCCAACTGCGACACAGCAAAAACCGTCCTAAACAAAGTTGAAGAATTTTAAGGTTATGTGGTGAAGTTCGGATAGGGCAGGCTTGTGTATGAGTATAAAAGTACCAGTTCCTTCCCTAGTGTGATAAACGGTTTCAGGTGAATGGAAAAATGAAGCGACACCAGTGTGAAAACGCCAAATTTGAAATCTATTATTGTAAACGCTGCGACTTTAAAACCGAACTGACGATTCTATTCGTACAACATTTTCGTACACGCCACGGTATTAAGAGAGAATGTGGAGAGGATTTGTCAAGTGAGGACTTTAGCATACACAATTACGTTTGCGAAAAGTGCCACTTTGAAACTAATTTTTCGTTGAAGTGGCTTCAGCATACTTTAGCGTGCTCGGAAACCGAACGTTGGTATTACTGTACGGAATGCCCCTACAAATCTAAACTCAACTACAATTTAAAACAACATGTACGAAATCGCCACTTACCCAAGCGGTTTGCATGTGATAAGTGTTCGTATAAATGTAGGTGGAAGGCAGCTTTAAAAAGCCACATTAATAGCAACCATTTGGCTGACGAAGATGGCGAATGGTACAAATGTGACGAGTGTCCTTTCAAAGCCAGAGCGAAACGTAATTTAAGACAACATGTCAATTACGTCCACTGGAAAAAAAGAGACTATGGAACTAAATGGCACCAGTGCACTGAATGTCCATTTAAAACCTTGTACAAAAGATATTTAAAAATTCACGTAACCGTGAAACATCTAGACGAAGAAAAAATTAAATGGTACGAATGTAAAAATTGCCCGTACAAAACCAAACGGGCGTCGAATTTAAAAAATCACATAAGTTACCACCACCTAGACGAAGAAAAAGTCAAATGGTACCAATGTGAAAAGTGCCAATTTAAAAGTAAACATGCGTCGTGCTTAAAAAATCATATAACGTATCAACATCTAGACGAAGTAAAGGTGAAGTGGTACGAATGCGAACAGTGCGATTTTAGAACTAAATACAGTTGTTCGTTGAAGCAGCACATAAATCGTATTCATTCAGAAAAACCGGAATGGTACGAGTGTGCGAATTGCTCTTATAAAAATAAAACTAGGTCTAATTTAAAACTACATATGAGTATCCACCATTCAGACGACAAGTTGTATCAATGCAAATTTTGTCCGTATAAAACTAATCTGAATAGTTCGCTAAAAACTCACGTAAACATCTGCCACGCGGATGGAGACGATGCTAAATGGCATCGATGTAAACAGTGTCCATACAGAAGTAAAAATCCTTCGTGTTTCTATAAACACAGAAAAAAACACGAGTAGGGGAGGTTTTTTGTGAGTTTTGTTTATTTATTTTGATTGATTAAATAAATATTACACTTGTAAAGAATAAAACGAATGATTGAATTTTTTTGTTTGTCGTATTTGGTGCTTTTTCGACCCGCCCACCCACCCTCTTCTCATTTTAACGACTGATGCCGCGTGAATCAAATCTACAGAATTTTTTAAGGAATGTACCGAAAAGTTCCGATTGATCTTCATTACGAGGAATCTGGCAACACTGGTCATTTGTTTACAGTCTGATTTTGCAAAACCACCCTTATTGACATTGGAGTCCTCAACCGCCAAAAACAAGCGCCAAATTTAAATAGTATTGATAAGTTTGGAAACACTGTTCTACTTTGTGTGAATTTTTAAATGTTTTCAGTGACAATTTTTGTGGTTGTTTTCAATACACTGTATGATTTTAACAGTGAGAAAAAAATGAAAAATTAAAATAATCGAAAATTTGAAAAATCGAGAAATCTAATAATCGAAAAATCGAAATCTTAAAAAATCGTAAAACCGAAACATTGAAAAATCGAAATATCGAAGAACTGAAAATCGAAAAATGAAACCTCAGAAAATCGAAAAAATGTAAAATTCAAAAATCGAATAACGAAAAATTGAGAAATCGAAACTCCCAAATTTAAAAAGTCCGATAACTGTCAGTCTTTCCTCCCCTCCAGCCAAAATCACATCTCATTCTTCTTTTTCTCTCTCATTTTCTCTCGCTTCCCCTCTCATTCTTTCGCTCTCACCGCTCCCACTTTTTCCCATTTTTTCGTTGTTTCATTCTCCCCGCCCACTTTAACTCCTGCTCTCTTTCATTTTCTCTTCATCTTGTTTTCTCCCTCACTCTCTTCCCTCCTTCGCTATCAATATCTCTAACTCTAATTTTTTCTTGCAATTTCTTTCCCAATCTCTCGTGTTTGCCTTCATTTCATTGACGCTCTGTATCTCCCCCTTATTCGCTCCCTTTTTCTAGCATTCACTCTTGCGATTTCACGTTCTCCATCTCTCTCTCTCTCTCATGGTTTTCGCTTTCGGTTTCACTCTCTCCCTCTTGCTCTCATGCTCCCTCTCGTCCTGTCTCTCTTAATATCTCATTCTCTCTCCTCGCTCACTTTTTTCTCTAGCTTTTTTCTTCTTCCACCTGTCTCTCCCATTCTTTCTTACTTTCATTCCCTCTCGCTCCTTTTCATTTTCTCATTCATTTTCGCTCTCTTCCTCTCTTTTTCAATCAACGTCGCGCTTTCATTTCCTCTCGCTCCCTTTCATTTTCTGTCGTTCTCACTCTCTGTCTTTCATTCTTCGACTGCGATCGCATTTTTCTCTCTCGCTGTCTTATTCTCACCTGCTTTTTTCTGTCGGTCTTTTCTCACTTTTTTCTCATTTGTTATCGATTTCCATCAATTGTGCTCTCATACCCTCTCACTTTCACTCTCTGTTTCTTTTCCTCCTATTCTGTTTAGCTCATTTTCTGATGTCCCACATTCATCCTTCCCTCACTCTCTCATTATCCCACGATCTCATCTCATTATTTCATTAGCTCAATATCCCTCATTATCTTATTATCTCCCGTTATTTCTCATTATCTCTCGTTATCTCCCATTATTTTATTATCTCTCATTATCTCATGATCTCGTTATCTCCCATTATCTCTCGTGATCTCATTACCTTATGAGCTCATTTATCTCTCTCTCCCTCTCGCATTCTCAAATTTATCTCTCCCTCCCATTCTACTATTTATCACTCTCTCTCTCATTCTCCCATTTATCACTGCCTCTCTCATTCTCCCCCCTTTATCACTCTCTCTCATTCTCTCATTTAAAAATTGAACAATTTATGAATTGACAATCAAAATATCGGAAAATCCAAATCTCGATAAATCGAGAAATCAAAAAACTTAAAATTCGAAAAATTGAAAAATAGAGAGATTGAATGATCAAAAGAACGAGAAATCGAAAAGTGATGAAATCGAAAAATTGAAAAATAGAGAAATCGACAAATATAAAGTTAAAAGTTGAAAAATTGGAAAAGCGGAAAAATAAAAAAAAAAACGAAAAAACGGAAAACTGGAAAAAATGAGAAACCGAAATAGGCCAAAATAAAAAATTGAAAAACTGATAAATCGAAAACCTGAACAATCAAATCTCGATAAATCGGGAATGAAAAATTAACAAATCGAAAAATTGAAAAACAGAACATCTAAAACCAGGAAGTCGAAAAATCGAAAGACTAAGAAATATTGAAAAACTAAAATATCAAAAGATTGAACAATCTAAAATTAAAAAATCCAAAAATTGAAAAATCGAAAAAGTAAAACACATTGAAAAATCCAGAAGTCAAAAATAGAAAAACCGAAGAATTGAAATATTGAAAAATCCTAAAATTGAAATATCTAAAAACTGAAAAATCGAAAAATCATAAAGTGAAGTTGAAAAATAGAAACCTTAAAAAATCGAAAAATTGAAAAATCAAAAACCTGAAAAATAAAAAAATTAAAGAATTGAAGAACAGGAAAATCGAAACACTCGAAGGTCAAGAAATGGGAAAATCAAAATATCGATTAATTGAAAAATCTAAAAATTGAGAGTTTATAAAAGTCAAATTTGAAAAATTAAAAAATCGAAAATTTGACAAAATGACAATTGAAAAACAGAAAATCTAAAACTGGATAGTCGAAAAATCAAAAGATTAAGAAATGGAAACATTCGAAAACTTGAAAAATTGAAATATCGCAGAACTGAAATGAAAAATCGAGAAATCGAAAAAACTAAAACTTTAAAAATTAAAAAATCTAAAATTTAAAAATCGAAAAATTGAAAAATAGAAAAAGTAAAAAAATCGACACATCGAAAAATCCAGGAGTCAAAAATCGAAAAGTCGAAGAATCAAAATAATGAAAAATCTCAAAACAGAGATATCGAAAAACTGAAAAATGAAAGAAAAACTGAAAAATGGGAAAACTTGAAAAATCCGAAAACTGAAATATCCAAAAACTGAGAACCTAAAAGGTCAAAAAATTGAGCAATCGAAAAATCCATAAAGTGAAGTCGAAACCTTAAAAAATCGAAAAATTGAAAGATCAAAAACCTGAAAAATCAAAAAATTAAAGAATTGAAGAACAGGAAAATCGAAACACTCGAATGTGAAGAAATGGGAAAATCAAAACATTGATTAATTGAAAAATCGAAAAATTGAGAGTTTATAAAACTCAAATTTGAAAAATGAAAAAATCGAAAATTTGACAAAATGACATGTGAAAAACAGAAAATCTAAAACCGGGTAGTGGAAAAATCAAAAGATTAAGAAATGGAAACATTCGAAACATTCGAAAACTTGAAAAATTGAAATATCGCAGAACTGAAACGAAAAATCGAGAAATCGAAAAATCCAAGACTTTAAAAATTAAAAAATTAAAAAAATCTAAAATTTAAAAATCGAAAAATTGAAAAATCGAAAAAGTAAAAAAATCGACACATCGAAAAATCCAGGAGTCAAAAATCGAAAAGTCGAAGAATCAAAATATTGAAAAAACCCAAAACTGGGATATGGAAAAACTGAAAAATGAAAGAAAAACTGAAAAATGGGAAAACCTGAAAAATCCGAAAACTGAAATATCCAAAAACCGAGAACCTAAAAGGTCAAAAAATTGAGCAATCGAAAAATCCATAAAGTGAAATCGAAAAATCGAAACCTTAAAAAAACTAAAAAATGAAAAATCAAAAACCTAAAAATCAAAAAATTAAAGAATTGAAGAACAGGAATATCGAAACCCTCGAAAGTCACGAAATGGGAAAATCAAAACATCGATTAATTGAAAAATCGAAAAATTGAGAGTTTATAAAAGTCAAATTTGAAGAATTAAAAAATCGAAAATTTGACAAATTGACAATTGAAAAACAGAAAATCTAAAACCGGATAGTCGAAAAATCAAAAGAATAAGAAATAGAAACATTCGAAAAATTCGAAAACTTGAAAAATTGAAATATCGCAGAACTGAATTGAAAAGTCGAGAAATCGAAAAATCTAAGACTTTAAAAATTAAAAAATTAAAAAAATCTAAAATTTAAAAATCGAAAAATTAAAAAATCGAAAAAGTAAAAAAATCGACACATCTAAAAATCCAGGAGTCAAAAATCGAAAAGTCGAAGAATCAAAATATTGGAAAAACCCAAAACTGAGATATGGAAAAACTGAAAAATGAAAGAAAAACTGAAAAATGGGAAAACCTTGAAAACTGAAATATCCAAAAACTGAGAACCTAAAAAGTAAAAAAATTGAGCAATCGAAAAATCCATAAAGTGAAGTCGAAACCTTAAAAAATCGAAAAATTGAAAGATCGAAAGCCTGAAAAATCAAAAAATTAAAGAATTGAACAGGAATATCGAAACCCTTGAAAGTCAAGAAATGGGAAAATCAAAACATCGATTAATTGAAAAATCGAAAAATTGAGAGTTTATAAAAGTCAAATTTGAAAAATTAAAAAATCGAAAATTTGACAAAATGACATGTGAAAAATAGAAAATCTAAAACCGCGAATTCGAAAAATCAAAAGATTAAGAAATCGAAACATTTGAAAAATTCGAAAACTTGAAAAATTGAAATATCGCAGAACTGAAATGAAAAATCCAGAAATCGAAAAATATAAAACTTTAAAAATTAAAAAATCTAAAATTTAAAAATCGAAAAAGTAAAAAAATCGACACATCGAAAAATCCAGGAGTCAAAAATCGAAAAGTCGAAGAATCAAAATATTGAAGAATCCCAAAACTGAAAAATGAAAGAAAAACTGAAAAATGGGAAAACCTGAAAAATCCGAAAACTGAAATATCCAAAAACTGAGAACCTAAAAAGTAAAAAAATTGAGCAATCGAAAAATCCATAAAGTGAAGTCGAAAAATCGAAACCTTAAAAAAACTAAAAATTAAAAATCAAAAACCTGAAAAATCGAAAAATTAAAGAATTGAACAGGAATATCGAAACCCTCGAAAATCAAGAAATGGGAAAATCAAAACATCGATTAATTGAAAAATCGAAAAATTAACAGTTTAAAAATGTCAAATTTGAAAAATTGAAAAATCGAAAATTTGAAAAAACGACAATTGAAAAACAGAAAATCTAAAACCGGAAAGTCGAAAAATCGAAAGATTAAGAAATCAAATCATTTGAAAAATTGAAATATGGAAGAGCTAAAATGAAAAATTGAGAAATAGAAAAATCTAAAATTTTAAATATTGAAAAATTAAAATACAAAAAAATTGAGAAATCTAAAATTTAAAAATCGAAAAAGTAAAAAGTCGACACATCGAAAAATCCAGAAGTCAAAACTGGAAAAGTCGAAGAACAGAAATATTAAAAAATCCCGAAACTGAAATATCGAAAAACAGAAAAATGAAAGAAAAACTGACGAATCGAAAAACTGAAAAATCCCAAAACTGAAATATCCAAAAACTGAGATTCTAAAGAATCGAAAAATTGAAAAATCAAAAATCTGCAAAATCGTAAGATCGAAAAATTGAATAATAAGTAAACTGAAAAATCCTAAAACTGAAATGTCGAAAAACCGAGAAATTAAAAAATTGAAAAATTGAGAAATCGAAAAATCCAAAAAGTGAAGTTGAAAAATCGAAACCTGAAAAAATAGAAAAATTGAAAAACCAGAAAACCTGAAAAATCAATTAAATGAAAAATCGACAAATAAAGAGTTTATAAAAGTCAAAAATTGAAAAATCGAAATATTTAAAAATCGTAAAATTGAAAAGAAAAACTGAAAACCGAGAAATTGAAAAATTGAGAAATTAAAAATGAAATAATAAATAGGAGTAAACTGAAAAGTCCCCAAACTAAAATTTCGAAAAACTGAGAATTCGAAAGTTGAAACAGCAAGAATTATAGGTTAGGATTGAAAAATTGAAATATCGAAGAACTGAAATGAAAAATTGAGAAATCGAAAAATCTAAAACTTTAAAAAGTAAAAAATCGAAAAATTGAAAAATCGAAAAAGTAAAAAAGTCGATACATCGAAAAATCCAGGAGTCAAAAATCGAAAAGTCAAAGAATCAATATATTGAAAAATCCCAAAACTGAGATATCGAAAAACTGAAACATGAAAGAAAAACTGAAAAATGGGAAAACCTGAAAAATCCAAAAACTGAGAACGTAAAAATTCAAAAAAATTGAGCAATCGAAAAATCCATAAAGTGAAGTCGAAAAATCGAAACCTTAAAAAAACTAAAAAATGAAAAATCAAAAACCTGAAAAATCGAAAAATTAAAGAATTGAACAGGAATATCGAAGCCCTCGAGAGTCAAGAAATCTGAAAATCAAAACATCGATTAATTGAAAAATCGAAAAATTAACAGTTTATAAATGTCAAATTTGAAAAATTGAAAAATCGAAAATTTGAAAAGACGACAATTGAAAAACAGAAAATCTAAAACCGGAAAGTCGAAAAATCGAAAGATTAAGAAATCGAAACATTTGAAAAATTGAAATATGGAAGGGCTAAAATGAAAAATCGAGAAATAGGAAAATCTAAAATTTTAAATATTGAAAAATTAAAATACAAAAAAATTGAGAAATCTAAAATTTAAAAATCGAAAAAGTAAAAAGTCGACACATCGAAAAATCCAGAAGTCAAAAATGGAAAAGTCGAAGAACAGAAATATTGAAAAATCCTAAAACTGAAATATCGAAAAACTGAAAAATGAAAGAAAAACTGACGAATCGAAAAACTGAAAAATCCCAAAACTGAAATATCCAAAAACTGAGAATCTAAAGAATCGATAAATTGAAAAATCAAAAATCTGCAAAATCGTAAGATCGAAAAATTTAATAATAAGTAAACTGAAAAATCCTTAAACTGAAATGTCGAAAAACCGAGAAATTAAAAAATTGAGAAATCGAAAAATCCAAAAAGTGAAGTTGAAAAATCGAAACCTGAAAAAATAGAAAAATTGAAAAACCAAAAAACCTGAAAAATCAATTAATTGAAAAATCGACAAATAAAGAGTTTATAAAAGTCAAAAATTGAAAAATCGAAATATTTAAAAATCGTAAAATTGAAGAGAAAAACTGAAAATCGGGAAATTGAAAAATTGAGAAATTAAAAATTAAATAATAAATAGGAGTAAACTGAAAAGTCCCCAAAGTCAAATTTCGAAAAACTGAGAATTCGAAAGTTGAAACAGCAAGAAATTATAGGTTAGGATGTGTATCAGGTCACGGATCGTGGCTTATAAATCAAATCGTTTCCGAACGCTTAGAGTCGACATTGGCCTGAGTGCGCTTTGGTCTGTAGATCAAACAAATAAGCAGCTTGTAATATTCTGGTAAATCTAGTGTCAATTTGTCGAAACTAAAACGCGTCGTTAAAAATATTATTACATTTTTTCTAGTTAATTTTATTCCTAGTTAGAAACGAACACTGTTGCCAACATAAGTTGAGGACGCTTCTCTATGTTCTCTGGTTTCATAACCTACAAAGACTCTAATCTGTTAGAATTATCACAGGTGAGAATTTCCAATTTTAACTATTCCAACAAAATTTAAATTAAGTAACCAAAATTGCAACTGCTTCTCTGGTGTAATAAAACGGTTTTAGTGAACCAAAATGTCAACATTGGAGTTGGAATCTTCAAAGAAAAATGTTCACAACTGCACTCAATGTCCATATTTTACAACGTCACTATTTCTTATAATGAACCACGTGAGACGACACCGATCTAGGGAAAAATTTACATGTTCTAACTCCAAAATTGAAGTTTATTACTGTAGAGATTGCCGTTTTCAAACGGAATTAATGGTTGTGTTCAAACAACACTTTACTCAATATCACGGCCTCAAGAGAGAATCTAGAGACGATTTATCAAGTGGGGACTTCACCGTACAAAATTACGTTTGCGAAAATTGCGACTTTCGAACAAATTTCTCACTAAAGTGGCTCCAGCACACTTCGGAATGCACAGGGAAGAAACTAATTCATTCTCGACGTGTGATTTACGTCAGAAAGAAACGATATGCTTGTGACAAGTGTTCATTTAAAAGTGCGGATAATGAAGCCTTAAGGAATCACATAAATCGTGTCCATTTAGATGAACAAAGTGCTGAATGGTACAAGTGTGAACAATGCCCATTTAAAACAAAAGTCAAAAGAAGTTTAAAAGGGCACATAAATCGCTTACACGTGAACGAACGAGACGTTAAATGGCACCAGTGTAAAGAGTGTTCATTTAAAACTAAAGCGAAGTCGGATTTAAGAGTACACATAATTCGGAAACACTTGGACGAAGAACAGATAAGGTGGTACGAATGTGAACATTGCCCATTCAAAACTAAACACTCAAATTGTTTAAAAAAACATATAATCGTGAAACATGTGGACGAAGAAAAAGTGAAGTGGTACGAATGTGGAGATTGTTCGTACAAAGGTAAAACCAAAGTTAATTTAAAAGACCATCGAAAGGTCCATTTGGAGTTCAAATCGCATCAATGCGAAAATTGTCCATATGAAACGAATCGCCGGGGTGATTTAAGGCGTCACATAAATAGCTTCCATTTGAATGGAATTGAAGCTAAGTGGTACGAATGCGGGCAGTGTTCTTACAAAAGTAAAACTAAATCATGTTTATATAAACACAAAAAAAAACACGTGTCGGATTTAGTTGGTGTGTGATTGTATTAAGTTGTATGTATATAATTATATTTGAAATAAAATTTCAAATTGCACTAGTTTGAATTCGACCTCAAGACTTTTTTATGATTGGTTAATGACCAGTCGCAACGTTGCCAGATGCCGTGAGCAAAAACGAAGTGTCATTTTTGACGTAGAAATTTTAGGTTAAGAACTGACTCATTTCGAAGTGTCAGAAGATCCTATTTCCTAAACCAAGTACCGCAGACGATGTCTTCCAGTTTTAACCGTCCCGAGGTAGCCACAATGCAATAAAACGCTTTTAGGTCACCAAAATGTCAACTTCCTTGGAAAAATTTACGTGCTCAAAGGGCTTAATTGAAGTGTACTATTGTAAAGTCTGCGATTTTAGAACGGAACTGACGATTCTGTTCAAACTACACATTAATAAACATCACGACCCTAAAAGAAAACCTAGAGACGATTTATCGAGTGAGGACTTCACCATACAAAATTACGTTTGCGAGAAATGCGGCTTCGAAACAAATCTCTCGTTGAAGTGGCTTCAACTTCGGTTTAGAATCATTGGAACGAAAGACATCTATTAAGGACTTAGGAGTGATATTTGACTCGGAACTTACTTTCAATGACCACATACAATGCGTCAGCAGTTCTGCTAGTAAATCACTTGGCTTCATAATGCGTGTCTCTAAATATTTCAATGACATCGATCTGCTTAAGTCTCTTTTCTTTTCATTTGTGATGAGCAAGTTGGAGTATGCGTCAATTATATGGTACCCAATTTATTTGTGCCAACATATGCCACTAGATAGAATCCACAGGAAGTTCCTTAAATATCTGTCATATAAACTCGACGGATTTTATCCTAGTAGAGGTTGTGATATGGTGATCCTGCTCCAGCGTCATGGATTGATGTCCCTCTCATCTCGGCGTGATGGGCAGTGTGCGAACTTTATTGTAAAATTAATTAATAATAGGATTGATTGTGCGTCCTTACTATCGAAAGTTGAATTTAATGTGCCGCAATTCTCTTCACGACATGTAGTTACCTTTTATGTGCCGTCTCCACGCACGAACGTCTTATGCCGTTCACCGATTTCAGTGATGTGCAAATGTGCTAATAAGCTCGTGAGTGATGTTTTCTTGGGTTAGTTCTGTTTATATTATGATCGAGAGTGCTGATTTACTCGTATTTATTTATTTATTTTTTTTATTTAGTTATTTGTATATTTATTATTATGTATTTTTTATATTTTGTCCTGTAATTAGGGAAACCTGTGGGACAATAAACTTATTATTATTATTATTATTATTATTAACACACTTCAGCATGTACAACACGGAAAAAAAATCTTCAAAATGATGAATTGCGTTGGTATTACTGTCCGCAATGCCCCTACAAAGCTAAACTCAAACGTAATTTAACCCGTCATGTAAGAAATCACAATATGAACAAGCGCTATGCATGCAACAAGTGTCCATTTCGGAGTAAATATAACTCGAGTTTAAGAAACCACATAAACCAAATGCACGTGGACGAACAAGACGTTAAATGGCACGAGTGTGTTAAATGTCCTTTCAAGACCAAAACGAAAGGCAGTTTAACAAGGCACATTAATACGTTACACTTGAACGACGAAGACGTTAAGTGGTACGAATGCACTGAGTGTCCTTTCAGAGCCAAGTATAAAAAGTCTTTGAAGCTACACGTGACTGTAAAACATCTAGATGAAGAAAAAATCGAGTGGCATAAATGTGAAGACTGTTCGTACAAAAGTAAAACGAAAGATCATTTAAAACATCACGTGAGGGTGCATTTGGACATTAAATCGTATCAGTGCGAGTATTGTCCGTATAAAGCGAAACGCAGTGGTGATTTAAGGAGTCATGTGAATTTCCGTCATTAAACACTTTTTAACATGTCAAATTCTGAATAAAAGTTTCATTTTTTCGTTTGCTCAGAATATTTTAATTCGATTTCGATTTTTAAGGGAAAGCTAACTTTGGCAACGCAGCTTCATAATTAGATGCTGATTGGATGATCGAATTCATAACCTTATTTTTAATACCCTTTTTAAACTAAAAAAAAACAACTTGCAAATGACTAAATCGGTATGTCCTTATCGAAGAAGATCGTGAATGCATTATGAAATGTTCATCTTCCGATTAAACGCTAGCTTGGTTTAGCAACGCTGCTGAAGTTTACATTTTTGAGGTTATGTGCAAAAGGAAAATGTTAGGTTAGTATTTCGTATGTTTCGTCTGACTTTTAACGTTTTTTGCTATTCTATTCATTCCCCTATTGTAATAAAACTATTTCAGACAACCAAGATGTCAACACTCAAGTATTCCGAAGCATCCATAGCCCAAGGAAAACCGTCATCGAAAAACGTCCACAAGTGTAAATTGTGCCCCTATTTTACAACTTCGTTTTTCCTTCTGACCAACCACGTGAGACGACACCGTTCCCCGTTGTGTGTAGACGCCAAAATCGAACTGTATTACTGTACAGACTGTGATTTTAAAACAGAACTAACGATTCTGTTCAAACAACACATTGTCAAACACCACAGCTTTAAACGAGAATTTAGAGACGATTTATCAAGTCAGGACTTTGTTATCGAAAACTACGTTTGCAAAAAATGCGACTTTGAAACAAATTTCTCGTTGAAGTGGCTTCAGCATTATTCAGAATGCATGGATGAAGACGAATTAGTTGAAAGGGTGAGTTCTCCGAAAGAAAACCAGATTGACCAAATACGTTGGTATTCCTGTAGGGACTGCTCCTACAAAGCCAAGTCTAAAAATTATTTAAAGCTTCACATAGACCGACGGCATTTAAACAAGCGCTACGCGTGCGACCGGTGTCCCTTTAAAAGTACAAGCAACCAAGGTTTAAAGAATCACATAAATTGTATCCATTTAGCCGAACAAGATGCCAAATGGTACGAGTGTGAAAAATGTCCATTTAAAACTAAGTTAAAAAAGAGTCTAAGAAGACACACCTACTCCCGACACTTGAACGAAGAAGACGTTAAGTGGCACCACTGCAAAAAGTGTTCGTTCAAAGCTAAAATTAAAGCAGATTTAAAGCTACACACAATCAGGAAACATCTAAACGAAGAAGAAATCAAGTGGTACGAATGCGACAGTTGTCCGTTTAAAGCCAAACACGCGTCTAATTTAAACCGTCACGTCAAGAATCGACACTTGGATGAAGAAAAAATTAAGTGGTTCGAATGCGAGGAGTGTCCGTTTAAAACTAAGCGCGAAAAATCTTTAAGGACACACGTGACTACGATGCATTTAGACGAAGATAAAATTAAGTGGTACGAATGTGTGGATTGTTCGTTTAAAACTAAGTATAAAACTAGTCTGAACATGCACGTCAATGCGAAACATCTAGATGAAGATAAAATTAAGTGGTACGAGTGTGGGAGTTGTCCGTTTAGGAGTAAAAATTCGTCGCATATAAAACGGCATGCGATTCGTAAACATTCGGGTTTAGAGAAGCACATTGGTGCTAGTCATTCAGTATAACGATTGTTTTTTCTTGTACCGTTTTATATTTGTCGACTTTATCAAATAAAAGTTTGAAAAAAATTGCTCGAAAGTTATTTACGTAGAAATTCCCCATTTCGTAGCGATTGTTTCGAAAATGTTGCTCCGTGACCCCCAACATCCTATATTTTTGGAATCAGCATGTCGAGATCTACGTCCCTGAATTTTTTCAGAATTTTTGGACAACTTTTTGAAAAGTGAAATTTTTCCAATGGTCCCCCCTTCTTCAAATTTCGGCCAAATTTTGACATTTTCGAAACTCAACTAAACACATTTTCTTGTAGATTTCGAGCTCTAGAACTCAGTTCCGGCATCGTTTCTTTGATGGCTGCAACCGTTTTTCCGGAATCGACCGTTGAAATATCGAGATTTTTAGAAATTCTCAAAAATTCGCATTTCGTAGCGATTCTTTCGAAAATGTTGCTCCGTGACCACCAACACCCTATATTTTTGGAATCAGCATGTCGAGGTCTACGTCCTTGAATTTTTTCAGAATTTTTGGACGACTTTTTGAAAAGTGAAATTTTTCCAATGGTCCCCCCTTCTTCAAATTTCGGCCAAATTTTGACATTATCGAACTTCAACTAAACACATTTTCTTGTAGATTTCGAGCTCTAGAACTCAGTTCCGGCTTCGTTTCTTTGATAGCTGCAACCGTTTTTCCGGAATTGACCGTTGAAATATCGAGATTTTTAGAAATTCTCAAAAATTCGCATTTCGTAGCGATTCTTTCGAAAATGTTGCTGCGTGACTACCAACACCATATATTTTTGGAATCAGCATGTCGAGATCTACGTCCTTGAATTTTTTCAGAATTTTTGGACGACTTTTTGAAAAGTGAAATTTTTCCAATGGTCCCCCCTTCTTCAAATTTCGGCCAAATTTTAACATTATCGAACTTCAACTAAACACATTTTCTTGTAGATTTCGAGCTCTAGAACTCAGTTCCGGCTTCGTTTCTTTGATAGCTGCAACCGTTTTTCCGGAATTGACCGTTGAAATATCGAGATTTTTAGAAATTCTCAAAAATTCGCATTTCGTAGTGATTCTTTCGAAAATGTTGCTCCGTGACCACCAACACCCTTTATTTTTGGAATCAGCATGTCGAGATCTACGTCCTTGAATTTTTTCAGAATTTTTGGACGACTTTTTGAAAAGTGAAATTTTTCCAATGTCCCCCCTTCTTCAAATTTCGGCCAATTTTTGACATTTTCGAAACTCAACTGAACACATTTTCTTGTAGATTTCGAGCTCTAGAGCTCAGTTCCGGCTTCGTTTCTTTGATAGCTGCAACCGTTTTTCCGGAATCGACCGTTGAAATATCGAGATTTTTAGAAATTCTCAAAAATTCGCATTTCGTAGCGATTCTTTCGAAAATGTTGCTCCGTGACCACCAACACCCTATATTTTTGGAATCAGCATGTCGAGATCTACGTCCCTGAATTTTTTCAGAATTTTTGGACGACTTTTTGAAAAGTGAAATTTTTCCAATGGTCCCCCCTTCTTCAAATTTCGGCCAAATTTTGACATCTTCGAAACTCAACTAAACACATTTTCTTGTAGATTTCGCCCTCTAGAAATCAGTTCCGGCTTCGTTTCTTTGATAGCTGCAACCATTTTTCACGAATCGATCGTCGAAATATCGAGATTTTTAGAAATTCTCAAAAATTCGCATTTCGTAGCGATTCTTTCGAAAATGTTGCTCCGTGACCACCAACACCCTATATTTTTGGAATCAGCATGTCGAGATCTACGTCCCTGAATTTTTTCAGAATTTTTGGACGACTTTTTGAAAAGTGAAATTTTTCCAATGGTCCCCCCTTCTTCAAATTTCGGCCAAATTTTGACATTTTCGAAACTCAACTAAACACATTTTCTTGTAGATTTCGCCCTCTAGAATTCAGTTCCGGCTTCGTTTCTTTGATAGCTGCAACCGTTTTTCCGGAATCGACCGTTGAAATATCGAGATTTTTAGAAATTCTCAAAAATTCGCATTTCGTAGCGATTCTTTCGAAAATGTTGCTCCGTGACCACCAACACCCTATATTTTTGGAATCAGCATGTCGAGATCTACCTCCTTGAATTTTTTCAGAATTTTTGGACGACTTTTTGAAAAGTGAAATTTTTCCAATGGTCCCCCCTTCTTCAAATTTCAGCCAAATTTTGACATTTTCGAAACTCAACTAAACAGATTTTCTCGTAGATTTCGAGCTCTAGAGCTCAGTTCCGGCTTCGTTTCTTTGATAGCTGCAACCGTTTTTCCGGAATCGACCGTTGAAATATCGAGATTTTTAGAAATTCTCAAAAATTCGCGTTTCGTAGCGATTCTTTCGAAAATGTTGCTCCGTGACCACCAACACCCTATATTTTTGGAATCAGCATGTCGAGATCTACGTCCCTGAATTTTTTCAGAATTTTTGGACTACTTTTTGAAAAGTGAAATTTTTCCAATGGTCCCCACTTCTTCAAATTTCGGCCAAATTTTGACATTTTCGAAACTCAACTAAACACATTTTCTTGTAGATTTCGAGCTCTAGAACTCAGTTCCGGCCTCGATTCTTTGATAGCTGCAACCGTTTTTCCGGAATCGACCGTTGAAATATCGAGATTTTTAGAAATTCTCAAAAATTCGCATTTCGTAGCGATTCTTTCGAAAATGTTGCTCCGTGACCACCAACACCCTATATTTTTGGAATCAGTATGTCGAGATCTACGTCCTTGAATTTTTTCAGAATTTTTTGACGACTTTTTGAAAAGTGAAAATTTTCCAATGGTCCCCCCTTCTTCAAATTTCGGTCAAATTTTGACATTTTCGAAACTCAACTAAACACAATTTCTTGTAGATTTAGAGCTCTAGAACTCAGTTCCGGCTTCGTTTCTTTGATAGCTGCAACCGTTTTTCCGGAATCGACCGTTGAAATATCGGGATTTTTAGAAATCTCAAAAATTCGCATTTCGTAGCGATTCTTTCGAAAATGTTGCTCCGTGACCACCAACACCCTATATTTTTGGAATCAGCATGTCGAGATCTACGTCCCTGAATTTTTTCAGAATTTTTGGACAACTTTTTTAAAAATGAAATTTTTTCCAATGGTCCCCCCTTCTTCAAATTTCGGCCAAATTTTGAGATTTTCGAAACTCAACTAAACACATTTTCCTGTAGATTTCGCCCTCTAGAATTCAGTTCCGGCTTCGTTTCTTTGATAGCTGCAACCGTTTTCCGAAATCGACCGTTGAAAAATCGAGATTTTCAGAAATTCTCAAAAGTTCGCATTTTGTTGCGATTCTTTCGAAAATGTTGCTCCGTGACCACCAACACCCTATATTTTTGGAATCAGCATGTCGAGATCTACGTCCTTGAATTTTTTCAGAATTTTTTGACGACTTTTTGAAAAGTGAAATTTTTCCAATGGTCCCCCCTTCTTCAAATTTCGGCCTAATTTTGACATTTTCGAAACTCAACTAAACACATTTTTTTGTAGATTTCGAGCTCTAAAGCTCAGTTCCGGCTTAGTTTCTTTGATAGCTGCAACCGTTTTTCCGGAATCGACCGTTGAAATATCGAGATCTTTAGAAATTCTCAAAAATTCGCATTTTGTTGCGATTCTTTCGAAAATGTTGCTCCGTGACCACCAACACCCTATATTTTTGGAATCAGCATGTCGAGATCTACATCCCTGAATTTTTTCAGAATTTTTGGACGACTTTTTGAAAAGTGAAATTTTTCCCCTTCTTCAAATTTCGGCCAAATTTTGACATTTTCGAAACTCAACTAAACACATTTTCTAGTAGATTTCGAGCTCTAGAACTCAGTTCCGGCTTCGTTTCCTTGATAGCTGCAACCGTTTTTCCGGAATCGACCGTTGAATTATTGAGATTTTTAGAAATTCTCAAAAATTCGCATTTCGTAGCGATTCTTTCGAAAATGTTGCTCCGTGACCACCAACAGCCTATATTTTTGGAATCAGCATGTCGAGATCTACGTCCTTGAATTTTTTCAGAATTTTTGGACGACTTTTTGAAAAGTGAAAATTTTCCAATGGTCCCCCCTTCTTCAAATTTCGGCCAAATTTTGACATTTTCGAAACTCAACTAAACACATTTTCTTGTAGATTTCGAGCTCTAGAACTCAGTTCCGGCTTCGTTTCTTTGATAGCTGCAACCGTTTTTCCGGAATCGACCGTTGAAATATCGAGATATTTAGAAATTCTCAAAAATTCACATTTGGCGCCGATTCTTTCGAAAACGTTGCTCCGTGACCACCAACACCCTATATTTTTGGAATTAGCATGTCGAGATCTACGTCCTTGAATTTTTTCAGAATTTTTGGACGACATTTTGAAAAGTGAAATTTTTCCAATGGTCCCCCCTTTTTCAAATTTCGGCCAAATTTTGACATTTTCGAAACTCAACTAAATACATTTTCTTGTAGATTTCGAGCTCTAGAGATCAGTTCCGGAGTCGTTTCTTTGATAACTGCAACCGTTTTTCCGGAATCGACCGTTGAAATATCGAGATTTTTAGAAATTCTCAAAAATTCGCATTTCGTAGCGATTCTTTCGAAAATGCTGCTCCGTGATCCCCAACACCCTATATTTTTGGAATCAGCATGTCGAGATCTACGTCCTTGAATTTTTTCAAAATTTTTGTACAACTTTTTGAAAAGTGAAATTTTTCCAATGGTCCCCCCTTCTTCAAATTTCGGCCAAATTTTGACATTTTCGAAACTCAACTAAACACATTTTCTTGTAGATTTCGCCCTCTAGAATTCAGTTCCGGCTTCGTTTCTTTGATAGCTGCAACCGTTTTTCCGGAATCGACCGTTGAAATATCGAGATTTTTAGAAATTCTCAAAAATTCGCATTTCGTAGCGATTCTTTCGAAAATGTTGCTCCGTGACCACCAACACCCTATATTTTTGGAATCAGCATGTCGAGATCTACGTCCTTGAATTTTTTCAGAATTTTTGGGCGACTTTTTGAAAAGTGAAATTTTTCCAATGGTCCCCCCTTCTTCAAATTTCGGCCAAATTTTGACATTTTCGAAACTCAACTAAACAAATTTTCTTGTTGATTTCGAGCTCTAGAGCTCAGTTCCGGCTACGTTTCTTTGATAGCTGCAACCGTTTTTCCCGAATCGTTGAAATATCGAAATTTTTAGAAATTCTCAAAAATTCGCATTTCGTAGCGATTCTTTCGAAAATGTTGCTCCGTGACCACCAACACCCTATATTTTTGGAATCAGCATGTCGAGATCTACGTCCCTAAATTTTTTCAGAATTTTTAGACAACTTTTGTAAAACTTAGACCAATTTTTGTCATTTTCGAAATTTAACTACCTAAATAAATGTCTGAATCTGTCTGAAGAAGAAATTTTGTGCATATAAATGCGCCTATTTGGACAAATATTGGTACTTATAAATCCGCCCTCAGCCAAATTTAAATGTCACTGGTTGTTGAGGTTATGTACACACAATTTTTGTAATTATTTCTGTATGAAAATTATTACATGTAGGTATTATTTTCGTTGTGTTTTAGCTGAAACGAGAATACACTTGACCTTTCATCGTTCAACCTGCTTCAAACCGTTATTAATAAAAAAATAAAAATATCTACTTTGACGTAAAAATGTTAGGTTAATACGACCAGAATGTCAACTCTGGAATATTCAGAAGCATTCACCACACCGGGAAGATCTTCACGGAAAAACGTTCACAGGTGTAAACTATGTCCATACTTTACGACGTCATTTTTTCTTATGGTGAACCACGTCAGACGACACCGCTCACTTTCAGAAAAATTTACGTGCTCACACTCCGAAGTTGAATCGTACCACTGTAAAGACTGCAATTTTAAAACAGAACTAACAGTTTTGTTCAAACAACACATTGATAAGTATCACAGTTTTAAGAGGGAATTTAGAGACACTTTATCAAGTCAAGACTTTGTTATCAAAAACTACGTTTGCGAAAAATGCGACTTTGAAACAACTCTGTCGTTGAAATGGCTCAAACATGTCTCAACGTGCAACCAAAACAAAGAAAATCTTGTGAGTTCTTGTAAACAAACTGAAGAAATACGTTGGTATTACTGCGAGGAATGTCCCTACAAAGCCACCCGCAAACGGAATTTAGTTAGTCATGTAGGAAGGCGCCATTCGAACCAGTCGTACCCATGCGACCAGTGCCCATTTAAAAGTACCAGCAAACGAGGCTTAAGAATCCACATAAACTGTATCCATGTAGATGAAAAAAGTGTTCGGTGGCACCAGTGCGAAAACTGTCCATTTAAAACCAAGCTAAAAAGCAGCTTAAAACGCCACATAAACTACTTACACTTGAAAGAAGGTGAACTTAAGTGGCACCACTGTGACGTGTGTCTATTCAAAGCTAAAGTAAAGGGAGACTTGAGAACACACATAATGAGGCAACACTTGAACGCAGAGGAGATAAAGTGGTACGAATGTGAACATTGCCCTTTCAAAACTAAACAGGCTTCACATTTAAAATACCATGTAACTGTGCGACATTTGGGCGAAGGCGAAGTTACGTGGTACGAATGTGAAGAATGTCCGTACAAAAGTAAAACCAAAGTTAATTTAAAAAACCATGTAACGGTTCATCTCAAGATCAGGTCGTATCAGTGCGAATGTTGTCCGTATAAGGCGAAACGCAGTGCTGATTTGAAGCGGCATATGAATAGCTTGCATTTGGACGGGACTGAAGCGAAGTGGTACGAATGCGAACATTGTCCGTACAGACATAAAAGCAAAACGTCGATTTATAAACACAGGAAAAAACACGGGTCGGTTTTGGTTAATTCGACTGTGTGATGGTGGAAATAATGTAAATAAATAATTATATTTTTTGTTTAGATTGTGTTTTTTTCACTCAGTACGAAAAATGTATACGTTCGAATAAAAATTCAATTTTTGAGGTTATGTGTATTGAGTATTATTAAATAATCGCATTTTTATATAGATTGTAATCTAATTAGTTAAGATAGTTAGTAGTTAGCTAGGAAACGAGAGAATATAAATAAGACTGATTTTGGGGAATAAAGAATTTTTGGAAACCTATCAATTTAAATATAAAGCGATACCATTTTTGACATATTATCTGTATAACTGGTTGCATAACCAACGTCTGGGTAAATGTATACGCATAGATTAATATAGATGCGACATACAGTCTGATTTTGCAAAACCACCCTTATTGACATTGGAGTCCTCAAGCGCCAAATTTAAATAGTCGATGCCAATAAAAACACTTGTTTTCAATACACTGTATGATATTAACAGTGAGAAAAAAATGAAAAATTAAAATAATCGAAAATTTGAAAAATCGAAACCTTCAAAAATCGTAAAACCGAAACATTGAAAAATCGAAATATCGAAGAACTGAAAATCGAAAAATGCAACATCAGAAAATCGAAAAAATGTAAAATTTAAAAATCGAATAACGAAAAATTGAGAAATCGAAACTCCCAAATTTAAAAAGTCGGATAACTGAAAAATCGAAACATCGAAAAACTGGAAAATCGAAAAACCGAGAAATCGAAAAATCAAAAGATCAAGAAATCATGGAGTCGAAAGGTCGAGGAATTGAGAAACCGAAATAGGCCAAAATCGAAAAATCGAAAAGTTAAAAATTGAACAATTTATAAATTGACAATCAAAATATCGGAAAATCCAAATCTCGATAAATCGAGAAATCAAAAAACTTAAAATTCGAAAAATTGAAAAATTGAGAGATTGAATGATCAAAAGAACGAGAAATCGAAAAGTGATGAAGTCGAAAAATTGAAAAATAGAGAAATCGACAAAAATAAAGTTAAAATTTGAAAAATTGGAAAAGCGGAAAAATAAAAAAACGAAAAAATGGAAAACTGGAAAAAATGAGAAACCGAAATAGGCTAAAATAAAAAATTGAAAAACGAATACATCGAAAACCTGAACAATCAAATCTCGATAAATCGGGAATGAAAAATTAACAAATCGAAAAATTGAAAAACAGAACATCTAAAACCAGGAAGTCGAAAAATCGAAAGACTAAGAAATATTGAAAAACTAAAATATCAAAAGATTGAACAATCTAAAATTTAAAAATCCAAAAATTGAAAAATCGAAAAAGTAAAACACATCGAAAAATCCAGAAGTCAAAAATAGAAAAATCGAAGAATTGAAATATTCAAAAATCCTAAAACTGAAATATCTAAAAACTGAAAAATCGAAAAATCAAAAAATTAAAGAATTGAAGAACAGAAAAATCGAAACACTCGAAGGTAAAGAAATGGGAAAATCAAAACATCGATTAATTGAAAAATCTAAAAATTGAAAGTTTATAAAAGTCAAATTTGGAAAATTAAAAAATCGAAAATTTGACAAAATGACATGTGAAAAACAGAAAATCTAAAACCGCGAATTCGAAAAATCGAAAGATTTAAGAAATCGAAACATTCGAAAAATTCGAAAACTTGAAAAATTGAAATATCGAAGAACTGAAATGAAAAATCGACAAATCGAAAAATCTAAAATTTTAAAAATTAAAAAATCTAAAATTTAGAAATCGAAAAATTGAAAAATCGAAAAAGTAAAAAAGTCGACAATCGAAAAATCCAGGAGTAAAAAATCGAAAAGTCGAAGAATCAAAATATTGAAAAATCCGAAAACTGAGATATCGAAAAAATGAAAAATGAAAGAAAAACTGAAAAATGGGAAAACCTGAAAAATCCGAAAACTGAAATATCCAAAAACTGAACCTAAAAAATAAAAAAAATGAGCAATCGAAAAATCCATAAAGTGAAGTCGAAACTGTAAAAAATCGAAAAATTGAAAGATCAAAAACTTGAAAAATCAAAAAATTAAAGAATTGAAGAACAGGAAAATCGAAACACTCGAATGTCAAGAAATGGGAAAATCAAAACATCGATTAATTGAAAAATCGAAAAATCGAGAGTTTATAAAAGTCAAATTAAAAAAATTAAAAATCGAAAATTTGACAAAATGACATGTGAAAAACAGAAAATCTAAAACCGCGAATTTGAAAAATCAAAAGATCAAGAAATCGAAACATTCGAAAAATTCGAAAACTTGAAAAATTGAAATATCGCAGAACTGAAATGAAAAATCGAGAAATCGAAAAATCTAAAACTTTAAAAATTGAAAAATCAAAAAAGTGAAGTCGAAAAATAGAAACTTTAAAAAATCGAAAAATTGAAAAATCAAAAACCTGAAAAATAAAAAATTAAAGAATTGAAGAACAGAAAAATCGAAACACTCGAAGGTCAAGAAATGGAAAAATCAAAAATCGATTAATTGAAAAATCTAAAAATTGAGAGTTTATAAAAGTCAAATTTAAAAAATTAAAAATCGAAAATTTGACAAAATGACATGTGAAAAACAGAAAATCTAAAACCGGGTAGTCGAAAAATTAAAAGATTAAGAAATGGAAACATTCGAAAACTTGAAAAATTGAAATATCGAAGAACTGAAATGAAAAATCGAGAAATCGAAAAATCTAAAATTTTAAAAATTAAAAAATCTAAAATTTAAAAATCGAAAAATTGAAAATCGAAAAAGTAAAAAAGTCCACACATCGAAAAATCCAGGAGTCAAAAATCGAAAAGTCGAAGAATGAAAATATTGAAAAATCTCAAAACTGAAAAATGAAAGAAAAACTGAAAAATGGGAAAACCTGAAAAATCCGGAAACTGAAATATCCAAAAACTAAGAACCTAAAAAGTCAAAAAATTGAGCAATCGAAAAATCCATAAAGTGAAGTCGAAAAATCGAAACCTTAAAAAAACTAAAAAATGAAAAATCAAAAACCTGAAAAATCGAAAAATTAAAGAATTGAACAGGAATATCGAAACCCTCGAAAATCAAGAAATGGGAAAATCAAAACATCGATTAATTGAAAAATCGAAAAATTGAGAGTTTATAAAAGTCAAATTTGAAAAATTAAAAAATCGAAAATTTGACAAAATGACAATTGAAAAACAGAAAATCTAAAACTGGATAGTCGAAAAATCAAAAGATTAAGAAATGGAAACATTCAAAACATTCGAAAATTTGAAAAATTGAAATATCGCAGAACTGAAATAAAAAATCGAGAAATCGAAAAAACTAAAACTTTAAAAATTAAAAAATCTAAAATTTAAAAATCGAAAAATTGAAAAATCAAAAACCTGAAAAATCAAAAAATTAAAGAATTGAAGAACAGAACAATCGAAACACTCGAAGGTAAAGAAATGCGAAATCAAAACATCGATTAATTGAAAAATCGAAAAATTGAGAGTTTATAAAAGTCAAATTTGGAAAATTAAAAAATCGAAAATTTGACAAAATGACATGTGAAAAACAGAAAATCTAAAACCGCGAATTCGAAAAATCGAAAGATTAAGAAATCGAAACATTCGAAAAATTCGAAAACTTGAAAAATTGAAATATCGAAGAACTGAAATGAAAAATCGAGAAATCGAAAAATCTAAAATTTTAAAAATTAAAAAATCTAAAATTTAGGAATCGAAAAATTGAAAAATCGAAAAAGTAAAAAAGTCGACACATCGAAAAATCCAGGAGTCAAAAATCGAAAAGTCGAAGAATCAAAATATTGAAAAATCCGAAAACTGAGATCGAAAAACTGAAAAATGAAAGAAAAACTGAAAAATGGGAAAACCTGAAAAATCCGAAAACTGAAATATCCAAAAACTGAACCTAAAAAATCAAAAAATTGAGCAATCGAAAAATCCATAAAGTGAAGTCGAAACTGTAAAAAATCGAAAAATTGAAAGATCAAAAACCTGAAAAATCAAAAAATTAAAGAATTGAAGAACAGGAAAATCGAAACACTCGAATGTCAAGAAATGGGAAAATCAAAACATCGATTAATTGAAAAATCTAAAAATTGAGATTTTATAAAAATCAAATTTGAAAAATTAAAAAATCGAAAATTTGACAAAACGACAATTGAAAAACAGAAGATCTAAAACCGGGTAGTCGAAAAATCAAAAGATTAAGAAATGGAAACATTCGAAAACTTGAAAAATTGAAATATCGAAGAACTGAAATGAAAAATCGAGAAATCGAAAAATCTAAAATTTAAAAATCGAAAAATTGAAAATCGAAAAAGTAAAAAAGTCGACACATCGAAAAATCCAGAAGTCAAAAATCGAAAAGTCGAAGAATGAAAATATTGAAAAATCCCAAAACTGAAAAATGAAAGAAAAACTGAAAAATGGGAAAACCTGAAAAATCCGAAAACTGAAATATCCAAAAACTAAGAACCTAAAAAGTCAAAAAATTGAGCAATCGAAAAATCCATAAAGTGAAGTCGAAAAATCGAAACCTTGAAAACACTAAAAAATGAAAAATCAAAAACCTGAAAAATTGAAAAATTAAAGAATTGAACAGGAATATCGAAACCCTCGAAAGTCAAGAATTGGGAAAATCAAAACATCGATTAATTGAAAAATCGAAAAATGAACAGTTTATAAATGTCAAATTTGAAAAATTGAAAAATCGAAAATTTGAAAAAACGACAATTGAAAAACAGAAAATCTAAAAGCGAAAAGTCGAAAAATCGAAAGATTAAGAAATCGAAACATTTGAAAAATTGAAATATGGAAGAGCTAAAATGAAAAATCGAGAAATAGAAAAATCTAAAATTTTAAATATTGAAAAATTAAAATACAAAAAAATTGAGAAATCTAAAATTTAAAAATCGAAAAAGTAAAAAGTCGACACATCGAAAAATCCAGAAGTCAAAAATGGAAAAGTCGAAGAAGAGAAATATGGAAAAATCCCAAAACTGAAATATCGAAAAACTGAAAAAATGAAAGAAAAACTGACGAATCGAAAAACTGAAAAACCCCAAAACTGAAATATCCAAAAATTGAGAATCTAAAGAATCGAAAAATTGAAAAATCAAAAATCTGCAAAATCGTAAGATCGAAAAATTGAATAATAAGTAAACTGAAAAATCCTAAAACTGAAATGTCGAAAAACTGAAAAATCAAAAACCTGAAAAATCAAAAAATTAAAGAATTGAAGAACAGGAAAATCGAAACACTCGAAGGTCAAGAAATGGGAAAATCATTCGATTAATTGAAAAATCGAAAAATTGAGAGTTTATAAAATTCAAATTTGAAAAATTAAAAAATCGAAAATTTGACAAAATCACATTGAAAAACAGAAAATCTAGAACCGCGAATTCGAAAAATCAAAAGATTAAGAAATCGAAACATTTGAAAAATTCGAAAACTTGAAAAACTGAAATATCGAAGAACTGAAATGAAAAATCGAGAAATCGAAAAATCTAAAATTATAAAAATTAAACAATCTAAAATTTAAAAATCGAAAAATTGAAAAATCGAAAAAGTAAAAAAGTCGACACATCGAAAAATCCAGGAGTCAAAAATCGAAGTCGAAGAATCAAAATATTGAAAAATCCCAAAACTGAGATATCGACAAACTGAAAAATGAAAGAAAAACTGAAAAATGGAAAAACCTGAAAAATCCGAAAACTGAAATATCCAAAAACTGAGAACCTAAAAAGTCAAAAAATTGAGCAATCGAAAAATCCATAAAGTGAAGTCGAAACCTTATAAAATCGAAAAATTGAAATATCAAAAACCGGAAAAGTAAAAAAATTAAAGAATTGAAGAACGGGAAAATCGAAACACTCGAATGTCAAGAAATAGGAAAATCAAAACATTGATTAATTGAAAAATCTGAAAATTGAGAGTTAAATTTGAAAAATTAAAAAATCGAAAATTTGACAAAATGACAATTGAAAAACAGAAAATCTAAAACCGGAAAGTCGAAAAATCGAAAGATTAAAAAATCGAAACATTTGAAAAATTGAAATATGGAAGAGCTAAAATGAAAAATCGAGAAATAGAAAAATCTAAAATTTTAAATATTGAAAAATTAAAATACAAAAAAATTGAGAAATCTAAAATTTAAAAATCGAAAAAGTAAAAAGTCGACACATCGAAAAATCCAGAAGTCAAAAATGGAAAAGTCGAAGAACAGAAATATTGAAAATTCCCAAAACTGAAATATCGAAAAACTGAGAAATGAAAGAAAAACTGACGAATCGAAAAACTGAAAAATCCCAAAACTGAAATATCCAAAAACTGAGAATCTAAAGAATCGAAAAATTGAAAAATCAAAAATCTGCAAAATCGTAAGATCGAAAAATTGAATAATAAGTAAACTGAAAAATCCTAAAACTGAAATGTCGAAAAACTGAGAAATTAAAAAATTGAAAAATTGAGAAATCGAAAAATCAAAAAAGTGAAGTTGAAAAATCGAAACCTGAAAAAAAAAATTGAAAAACCAAAAAACCTGAAAAATCAATTAATTGAAAAATCGACAAATAAAGAGTTTATAAAAGTCAAAAATTGAAAAATCGAAATATTTAAAAATCGCAAAATTGAAGAGAAAAACTGAAAACCGAGAAATTGAAAAATTGAGAAATTAAAAATTAAATAATAAATAGGAGTAAACTGAAAAGTCCCCAAACTAAAATTTCGAAAAACTGAGAACTTTTTGATCCTATAAATCCTGAAATAGGGTAAAACCGAATGCTTTGAAATCTTGCAAGGGAAGTTCTACATAAACAACTTGGACGAATTTTTTTTCAAAATTTTAATCAAAAGTCAAAATATAAAACATATTACAGGTACACCAGTCGTTAAATGTTTGCATTACTTTTACCCTTTACTCCGAATGTTTACGAGTTACATGCCGTTTTAAATGCGACGAATTTTTACTCCTGAACGGACAACTGCCACACTCGTACCACTTAATTTTGTCTTCGTCTACGTGTTTCGCAGTGACATGCATGCCCAAATTGTTTTTATACTTAGTTCTGAACGCACAATCCCCACATTCGTACCACCTGACTTTATCTTCGTCTAAATGTCTCGTATTCACGTGTGACCTCAACGATTTTTCGTGCTTAGTTCTAAATGGACACTGTTTGCATTCGTACCACCTAACTTCTTCGTCATCCAAATGTCGATTATTTACGTGACGTTTTAAATTCGACACGTGTTTAGCTCTAAATGGACAACTTTCGCATTCGTACCACTTGATTTCTTCCTCGTTTAAATGTTTCCGAATTACGTGTATCTTCAAATCTGCTTTGGTCTTAGCTTTGAATGAACACTTTTTACACGGGTACCACCTAACGTCCTCGTGCTTCAAGTGCCGGGAATTTATGTGTCTCCGTAGACTCTTTTTTAGCTTAGTTTTAAACGGACACTTTTCACAGTCGTACCATTTGGCGTGTTGTTCGTCTAAATGGATACAATTCATGTGGTTTTTTAAACCTCGGTTCGTTGTACTCATGAATGGACACTTGTCGCACGCGTAGCGTTTGTGTAAGTGGCGCTTGTCTGTGTGTAGTTTTAAATAGTTTTTGGTTTCGGTTTTGTAGGGACATTCGGAACAGTAATACCAACCCTGTCCCGTACATAACGAACTGTGCCGAAGCAACGTCAACGACAGGTTTGTTTGGAAATCACACTTCTCGCAAACGTAGTTTCGTACGTTGAAAATCGTCGAAAAAGCGCCACTTTTAAAACCATGATATTTATCGATGTGTTGTTTGAATGAAACTGTTAATTGTGTTTCAAAATTGCAGTCTTTGCAGTAATAAGGCTCGATTGTGGCGTTCAGACATAAAGGTGACCGGTGGCGTCTGACGTGATTCGTCATAAAGAAGAACGAAGTGGTGAAATAGGGGCACAGTCTGCACTTGTGGACGTTTTTCGATGGAAGTCGTCCCTGGGGTGCTGAATATTCCAACATTGACATTTCGGGGGGCTACAATAGTTTGTTTAAATTAAAAATGCACTGTTTTGATAAAACTAACCTAACATTTTTGCACATAACCTCAATATGTGTCAAAAATTGACACATCCACGCATTGCCAACCTAGATTCACGGTTGGCACGACTGCAACAAATGTCAAACACTATTAAATTCGTTTTTATTCATAATCTTGTTGAAAAGATTAGGTCACACAAAATATACACATTCAACTAAAATCTGACACATTTGTGGCTATTTGTGACGCTTTAAACTGCCGCTGCGTTTCGGTTTAAATGAACAATACTGGCACTGATGCCACTTGATCTCCATATGGACCTCCACATGGCGATTTAATTGTGTTTTAGTCCTACTTCTGAACGAACAGTTATCACACTCGTACCACTTGATTTTGTCCACGTCTGGGTGTTTTCTACTCACGTGTGTCTTTAAAGATTTTTCGTACTTAGTTTTGAACGGACACTCATCACATTTGTGCCATTTGACATCGTCGTTCAAGTGTGAGGTGTTAACGTGTCTAGTTAAACTAATTTTTGTTTTAGTCTTGAACGGACACTTGTCACACTTGTGCCACCCAACGTCTCGATCGTCCAACTGCAGTCGCGTCAAGTGGACTTTTAAAGCTTTCTTGTACGTATGTTTGTTCGAAAAATGGGTGCTTTCAAAGTGACGTTTTAAATTATCTATGACGTTAGCTTTGTAAGGACATTCCGCACAGTAATACCAACGCACGTCGTCATTTTCTTTCTTATCCCTACAACAGTCTAAAGTATGCTGGAGCCACTTTAACCACGTGTTTGTTTCGAAACCACATTTCCCACAAACGTAGTGTTCTACGTGAAAGTCACTTTTCAGGTCACGGTGTTCATCGATGTGCTGTTTGAACAAAACCGTCAATTCTGTCTTAAAACCGCAGTCTTTGCAGTAGTAGGCTTCGATTTTGGCGCTGTCGCAAGTAAATTGTTGCTGAGGTGACCGGTGGCGTCGCACGTGGTTGACCATAAGAAAAAGCAAGGTTGTGGAATAGGGGCACAGTTTGCAGATGTGGACGTTTTTCCATGACGATCTACCGTGTGTTGCGATGGCTTCGCAGTAGTCCAAAGTTGACATCTCGGCCGACTAAAAGGGTTTTATCACACGAGGGAAGAATGGTGGCACTTTCTTACCCAAACCTCGCCAGGTGGATTAAGACTAGAAACGATTAAAATTTTTTCATACACGTGCAACTTCGACACACCTAACCACACAAATTGGAGCGAATAGCGCACTTCCGGGTCCGGGAAATTTTAAATGGTGGTGTACCATTTCGAATTTTCGGTAGATATATTGACTCTAGCTACTTAATCTTAGCCAACTAGACTTTTCTGCTTCTTTACATCTGTTACATTATTTTTTGCATTTTTATCATAGTACGAGGATTTAAGTTGATTACTACAAAAATTTACCATTTTAGACATGTTTTAAGTTTCTTGTTGTCCAAATAAGTCTAGACCTATTAAGAAAAAAAGGCAAAATTTAGCCCCGCCCACCCGCCCTGTCTCAATTGTAATGATTTTGGTTATTCGTCGTGAGCCAAGAGGGCGGAGTTTAACTGCAAAATCCTTATTTCTCTACTATGAGAAATTAAAAATATGTTTTTGAGTATCGTGTTGTTCAAAGAATACTATGTATATTAAGTAAAAAATAAAGCCTAAGATCAAGCCCCACCCATACCCGCCCCAACCTCAATTCTCAGTTGTGATGAATTTTCCATTCGTTGTCAGATCGAGGGGCGGGGCTTAATTGCAATTTCCATATTTGTCTAGAAGAATTAACCAATTTCAACATGTTTTAAGTTTCTTGTTCTGAAAAAACGACTACGTATATTAAGAAAAAAGGGAAAATATAAGCCCCGCCCACCCGCCCGATCTCAATTGTGATGATTTTTCTTATTCGTCGTGAGTCGAGGGGCGGAGCGTAATTGCAAAATCGATATTTCCCTATAGAACTTTACCATTTTAACGATGTTTTAAGTTTCTTGTTGTGAAAAGACGGCTACGTATAAGAAGAAAAAGCGCAAAATATAAGCCCCACCCACCCGCCCTATCCCAATTGTGATGAAATTTTTATTCGTCATAAGTCAAGAGGGCGGAGCTTAATTGCAAAATCCATATTTCCTTACCAAAATTTACCATTTTAAATGTGTTTCGAGTTTCTAAGAATAAAAAAAATCATCACGATCGAGACGGGGTGGGTGGGCGGGGTTAAAATTTTGCCTTTGTTTCTTAACGTAGATAGTATTCTTTGAACAACACGATACTCAAAACCATGTTTTTTATTTCTTGTAAAGAAAAAAGTATTTTGCAGTTAAGCTCCGCCCTATTGGTTCACGGCGAATAAAAAATTCATCACAAACGAGATAGGGCGGGTGGGCGGGCTTAAATTTTGTCTTTTTGTTTTAATATTTGTAGACTTCTTTTCACAACATGAAACTTACAACATGTTTAAAATGGAAAATATCGATTTTACTATTAAGCTTCGCCTCATAATTGCAAAATCCTTATGTCCTTGCAAAAATGTACCATTTTAATGATGTTCTAAGTTTTTTGTTGAGAAAAGATGGCTATGTATATTAAAAAGACAGAAGCAAAATATAAGCCCCGCCCACCCGCCCTGTCTCATTTGTAATGATTTTCGTTATTCGTCGTGAGCCAAGAGGGCGAAGCTTAACTACAAAATCCTTATTTCTCTACTTAGAGAGATTAAAAATATGTTTTTGAGTATCGTGTTGTTCAAAGAATACCATGTATATTAAGAAAAAAATAAAGCCAAAGATTAGGCCCCACCCATACCCGCCCCGATCTCAATTCTCAGTTGTGATGAATTTTCCATTCGTTGTGAGATCGAGGGGCGGAGCTTAATTGCAATATCCATATTTGTCTAGAAGAATTAACCAATTTAAACATATTTTAAGTTTCTTTGTGTGAAAATATGAATACACATATTAAGAACAAACGGAAAAATATAAGCCCCGCCCACCCACCCTATCTCAATTGTGACGATTTTTCTTATTCGTCGTGAGTCGAGGGGCGGAGCATAATTGTAAAAACCTTATTTTTCTACATGAAATTACCATGTTAAATGTGTTCTTAAGTAATCGTGTTATACAAACAAAACTAAATGTATTACATAATTAAAAAAGAAAACCAAAATAGAAGCCCCACCCATCCGTCTCGATCTCAAGCGTGATGAATTTTTCATTCGTTGTCAGACCGAGGGGTGGAGCGTAATTGCAAAATCGATATTTCCCTATTGAAATTTACCATTTTAGGCATGTTTTAAGTTTCTTGTTGTGAAAAGACGGCTACGTGTAATAAGAAAACGCGCAAAATATAAGCCCCACCCATCCGCCCCATCTCAATTGTGATGATATTTTTATTCGTCATAAGTCAAGGGGGCGGAGCTTAATTGAAAAATCTATATTTCCTTACCAAAATTTACCATTTTAAATGTGTTTCGAGTTTCTAAGAATAAAAAAAATCATCACAATCGAGACGGGGTGGGTGGGCGGGGTTAAAATTTTGCCTTTGTTTCTTAACGTAGATAGTATTCTTTGAACAACACGATACTCAAAACCATGTTTTTTATTTCTTGTAAAGAAAAAAGTATTTTGCAGTTAAGCTCCGCCCTATTGGTTCACGGCGAATAAAAAATTCATCACAAATGAGATAGGGCGGGTGGGCGGGCTTAAATTTTGTCTTTTTGTTTCTTGTTATTGTTAATTTTTAATTTTAATTTTTAGTTTTTCCTGTAATTGGGTGTAACCCCGTTGGAAAATAAAAAAAAAATAAAAAAAATAAAATAAAATATGTGCAGACTTCTTTTCACAACATGAAACTTAAAACATGTTTAAAATGGAAAATTTGTAGAAGGAAATATCGATTTTACTATTAGGCTCCGCCCATAATTGCAAAATCTATATTTCCTTGCAAAAATATACCATTTTAATGATGTTGTAAGTTTTTTGTTGTGAAAAGATGGCTATGTATATTAAGAAGACAAAAAGCAAAATATGAGCCCCGCCCACCCGCCCTGTCTCACTTGTAATGATTTTCGTTATTCGTCGTTAGCCAAGAGGGCAGAGCTTAACTACAAAATCCTTATTTCTCTACTATGAGAAATTAAAAATATGTTTTTGAGTATCGTGTTGTTCAAAGAATACCATGTATATTAAGAAAAAAATAAAGCCAAAGATTAGGCCCCACCCATAACCGCCCCGATCTCAGTTCTCAGTTGTGATGAATTTTCCATTCGTTGTGAGATCGAGGGGCGGGGCTTAATTGCAATATCCATATTTGTCTAGATGAATTAACCATTTTAAACATATTTTAAGTTTCTTTGTGTGAAAATATGAATACACATATTAAGAAAAAACGGCAAAATATAAGCCCCGCCCACCCACCCTATCTCAATTCTGATGATTTTTCTTATTCGTCGTGAGTCGAGGGGCGGAGCTTAATTGTAAAATCGATATTTCCCTATGGAAATTTACCATTTTAGGCACGTTTTAAGTTTCTTGTTGTGAAAAGACGGCTACGTATAAGAAGAAAAAGCGCAAAATATAAGCCCCGCCCACCCGCCCTATCCCAATTGTGATGATATTTTTATTCGTCATAAGTCAAGAGGGCGGAGCTTAATTGCAAAATCCATATTTCCTTACCAAAATTTACCATTTTAAATGTGTTTCGAGTTTCTAAGAATAAAAAAAATCATCACGATCGAGAAGGGGTGGGTGGGCGGGGTTAAAATTTTGCCTTTTTTTCTAACGTATAAAGTATTCTTTGAACAACACGATACTCAAAACCATGTTTTTTATTTCTGGTAAAGAAAAAAGTATTTTGCAGTTAAGCTCCGCCCTCTTGGTTCACGGCCAATAAAAAATTCATCACAAATGAGATAGGGCGGGTGGGCGGGCTTAAATTTTGTCTTTTTGTTTTAATATTTGTAGACTTCTTTTCACAACATGAAACTTAAAACGTGTTTAAAATGGAAATTTGTAGAAGGAAATATCGATTTTACTATTAAGCTCCGCCCCATAATTGCAAAATCCATATTTCCTTGCAAAAATGTACCATTTTAATGATGTTCTAAGTTTTTTGTTGTGAAAAAATGACTATGTATATTAAGTAGACAAAAAGCAAAATATAAGCCCCGCCCACCCGCCCTGTCTCGCTTGTAATGATTTTCGTTATTCGTCGCGAACCAAGAGGGCGGAGCTTAACTACAAAATCCTTATTTCTCTACTATGAGAAATTAAAAATATGTTTTTGAGTAACGTGTTGTTCAAAGAATACCATGTATATTAAGAAAAAAATAAAGCCAAAGATTAGGCCCCAGCCATACCCGCCCCGATCAGAATTCTCAGTTGTGATGAATTTTCCATTCGTTGTGAGATCGAGGGCGGGGCTTAATTGCTATATCGATATTTGTCTAGATGAATTAACCATTTTAAACATATTTTAAGTTTCTTTGTGTAAAAAGATGAATACACATATTAAGAAAAAACGGCAAAATATAAGCCCCGCCCACCCACCCTATCTCAATTGTGACGATTTTTCTTATTCGTAGTGAGTCGAGGGGCGGAGCATAATTGTAAAAACCTTATTTTTCTACATGAAATTACCATGTTAAATGTGTTCTGAAGTAATCGTGTTATACAAACAAAATTAAATGTATTACATAATTAAAAAAGAAAACCAAAATTGAAGCCCCCCCCCATCCGTTTCGATCTCAAGCGTGATGAATTTTTCATTCGTTGTCAGACCGAGGGGCGGAGCGTAATTGCAAAATCGATATTCCCCTATAGAAATTTATCATTTTAGGCATGTTTTAAGTTTCTTGTTGTGAAAAGACGGCTACGTATAATAAGAAAACGCTCAAAATATAAGCCCCACCCACCCGCCCTATCTCAATTGTGATCATATTTTTATTCGTCATAAGTCAAGAGGGCGGAATTTAATTGCAAAATCCATATTTCCTTACCAAAATTTACCATTTTAAATGTGTTTCGAGTTTCTAAGAATAAAAAAAAATCATCACAATCGAGACGGGGTGGGTGGGCGGGGTTAAAATTTTGCCTTTTTTTCTAACGTATATAGTATTCTTTGAACAACACGATACTCAAAACCAATTTTTTTATTTCTGGTAAAGAAAAAAGTATTTTGCAGTTAAGCTCCGCCCTCTTGGTTCACGGCGAATAAAAAATTAATCACAAATGAGATAGGGCGGGTGGGCGGGCTTAAATTTTGTCTTTTTGTTTTAATATGTGTAGACTTCTTTTCACAACATGAAACTTAAAACATGTTTAAAATGGAAATTTGTAGAAGGAAATATCGATTTTACTATTAAGCTCCGCCCCATAATTGCAAAATCCATATTTCCTTGCAAAAATGTACCATTTTAATGATGTTCTAAGTTTTTTGTTGGGAAAAGATGGCTATGTATATTAAAAAGACAGAAGCAAAATATAAGCCCCGCCCACCCGCCCTGTCTCACTTGTAATGATTTTCGTTATTCGTCGTGAGCCAAGAGGGCGGAGCTTAACTACAAAATCCTTATTTCTCTACTATGAAAAATTAAAAATATGTTTTTGAGTATCGTGTTGTTCAAAGAATACTATGTATATTAAGTAAAAAATAAAGCCAAAGATTAGGCCCTACCCATACCCGCCCCGATCTCAATTCTCCGTTGTGATGAATTTTCCATTCGTTGTGAGATCGAGGGGCGGGGCTTAATTGCAATTTCCATATTTGTCTAGAAGAATTAACCATTTTAAACATATTTTAAGTTTCTTTGTGTGAAAATATGAATACACATATTAAGAACAAACGGAAAAATATAAGCCCCGCCCACCCACCCTATCTCAATTGTGATGATTTTTCTTATTCGTCGTGAGTCGAGGGGCGGAGCTTAATTGTAAAATCCTTATTTTTCTACGTAAAATTATCATGTTAAATGTGTTCTTAAGTAATCGTGTTATACAAAAAAAACTAAATGTATTACATAATTAAAAAAGAAAACCAAAATAGAAGCCCCACCCATTCGTCTCGATCACAAGCGTGATGAATGTTTCATTCGTTGTCAGACCGAGGGGCGGAGCGTAATTGCAAAATCGATATTTCCCTATAGAAATTTACCATTTTAGGCATGTTTTAAGTTTCTTGTTGTGAAAAGATGGCTATGTATATGAAGAAGACAAAAAGCTAAATATAAGCCCCGCCCACCCGCCCCATCTCAATTGTAATGAATTTTTTATTCGTTATGAGATCGGGAGGCGGAGCTTAACTACAAAGTCCGCATGTTTAGATTTAAACCACCATCAATTATTTTTTATTAAAAATCTTAAACAGGTAGTCTCAAAATATAACACTTTACACAATGCTTACATGAATGTTAAAAAAAACAACACTAAATCTAAATCTCGTGTGCTTTGTTGTGCTTATACAAACTCGATCCATATTTAGTTTTGTACGAACACTGTTCGCATTTGTACCACTTAACGTCCTTTCCGTTCAAATGGCGGCAATTAATGTGACACTTTAACTCATTGATGCGTTTCGCCTCATATGGGCAATATTCGCACTGATACGGTTTGATCTCTGAATGCACCTTTACGTGCCTCACTAAATTCCTTCGTGCTTTAGTTCTGTACGAACAATTTGCACATTCAAACCATTTAACGTCTTCTTTATTCAGGTGAATTAGTTGTGGGTGTTGTTTTAGACTATTTCCGGATTTGGCTTTGAATGGGCACTTTTCAGACCATCCGACATCGTTTTGTTTGGAGTGGAAACGACTCAGATGGAGTTCCAAGTCTGCTTTACGTTTGGTTTTAAAAGGACACTGTTCGCATTTATATTGAATCAAGTTTAAGTGTCTGTAAATTCCGTGGAATGTTAAGTATCGTTTACACTTAGTTTTGAAAGAACACTCGTCGCATTTGCACCATTCGACATCGTTATTATGCACGTGTTTTTTTAAAACACTTTTCGACCCAGTTTTGAAAATACATTTTTCGCACTTGTGTTCATCACCTAGGTGGAACAGACGACTGTGCTCTCTTAAACATGAGCTATAATGAGATCTGAATGGGCAGTCGGAGCATGCGTAGCGCTTGCTCAAGTTTTGAAGATTCACTTTCGTTTCCACGCATGTCGAACTATGCTGAAGCCACTTGAACAAGAAATTTGTTTGGAAGTGGCATTTTTCGCACACGTAGTTTTGTATACTGAAGTCCTCGCTTGATAAATCGCCTCGTTTAAGACCGTGATACTTATTAATGTGTTGTTTGAACAAAATTGTTAGTTCCGTTTGAAAATCGCAGTCTTTGCAGTAATAGGATTCGATTTTGGGGTTCGAACAAGTAAATTTTTCCAGGGTAGAACGGTGCCGCCTCACGTGGTTCACCATTAAGACGAGCGATGTTGAAAAATAGGGGCACAGTTTACAGTTATGGACGTTTTTCCAGGATGATCTTCCCAGTGCTGCGAGTGCTTCCGAAAATTCCAGCGTCGACATTTTGGTGCCTGAAATCGTTTTATTACACGAGAGAAGCAGTTGTGAGTTTAGTTACCTCAATAAATCGTGTTAAAGTGGATATTTGACACGTTATTCCAAAACACCAGAGTTCTAACCTAACATTTTGACGTCACATTTGATGTGACGATTTTTGGAAAAATGCATAGAAAATAGAAAAATGAGTAAGAAAACTAGGTATAATAATCTGAGTTAGAACATTACACATATTATACTTAATTATACTACTGTGTGGGTACACATAACCTCAAAAACTGAATCAACCAATGACACGAGAGTCAATGGGAAACAAGAAAGAGGTGGGCCCGTTCCGTATTTCACTTTAATAATAGTAATATTAATAATTATTTAAAATAAATATGTAATATAATAAAATAGTTACAATTAAATACCCTCAACTAAATCCGCCGCGTGTTTTTTTTTGTGTCTGTAAAAAGACGCCCCACTTTTGCTCTTGTAACAACAGTGTTCACATTTGTACCATCTGGCTTCGGTTCCATGTAAATGTCGACAATTTATGTGACGCTTTAAATCGCCACTGCGTTTCGCCTTATGTGGACAATATTCGCACTGATACGATTTAGTCTCCACGTGGACTTTCATGTGTACTTTTAAATCACACCTTGCTTTACTTTTGTACGAACATTTCGCACATTCGTACCACTTAACTCTCTCGTCATCCAGATGTCGACAATTTATATGAGTTTTTAAATGTTCCGCTTGTTTAGTCTTGTACGGGCAGTCCTTACATTCGTACCACTTAATTTTTTCCTCGTCTGTGTGTTTAGCAGTCACGTGAACCACCAAAGAACGTCTATACTTGCTCTTGAAAAGGCACTGGTCGCATTCGTACCATTTAACGTCTTCGTCGTTCGAATGTAAGCGGTCTATGTGGCTTTTTAAAGTGCTTTTTAGTTTGGTTTTGAATGGACAATGTTTACATTCGTACCACTTAACCTTTTCTTCATCTAGATGTTTCAAAGTTATGTGTGTCTTTAAATAATTTTTATGTACGGTTTCGAATGGACATTCAGTACAGTGATACCTCACACTTTGATGATTTGATTTCTGTCTTGTGCATGTCGAAGAATGCTGAAGCCACTTTAACAAGAGATTTGTTTCAAAGTTGCATTTTTCGCAAACGTACTTTTGTATGATGAAATCGTCTCCAAACTGTCTCTTAAGGCCGTGATTTTTATTCAAGTGTTGTTTGAACTCGATCGTTAGTGATGTTTTAAAATCGCAATCTTTACAGTAATATTCTTCGATTTTGGCGTTTGAGCATGCGAATTTTTCTAAGGATGAATGCCGTCGGCTCGAGTGGTTCACCATAAGAAAAAGTGAGGTTGTGAAATAGGGGCATTCTTCACACCGGTGGGCGTTTTTCCATGAAGATCGTCCCCATGGTTCAACAGTTTCGGAGTACTCCAAAGTTGACATTTAGGCCAGCTGAAACCGATCGTCACACCGGGGAAGAATTGTGGCATTTTTCTTACGTAAATCCCGTGATTATAAAATTTTTCATAAACTAGAAGCTTCGTCAGTTCATCATTATTGACCTATTTGGAATTTGGACTGGGCGTTGCTGTTTGACAGCTATAAAAATAATAATGTCAACATAAGTAGGCAACCAGTAATACCCAATCGGGACGAGGCTCCGTTATCAAATTAATTTCACTGGTTCTGTGTTTCACCGCTTATTTCGGCGATGAAAACCTTGTAGTTCTTTTTTATTTTGAGGAATCGGAATTTCTATTTTCTCGTTCTCGATTTGAACGCCCATATTTAATTTCTTGCAAACCTAGCTAGCATTTTTCTAACCTAAATTTTATGTTACGTTTTTGAGATATTTTAAATACTTTCTCTAAAACCTTCTCTGAATTATCGAAATTTTTGGGATATAATATAACAAATCCTCAGAACACCAGAATCCTCAAATCCTCAGAACACCATAATCCTCAAATCCTAAGAACACCAGAATGCTCATATCCTTAGAAAATCATAATCCTCAAACCCTTAGAACACCAGAATCTTCAAATCCTCAGAACATCATAATCCTACCAAAGTCCTCAATCCTCAGAACACAATTATCCTTAAATCCTCAGAACTTCGTAATCCTCAACCTCGTCCTTTTTGTCTTTTTCGTTCTTTTCGTCCTTTTCGTCATTTCGTTCTTTTCATCCTTTAGTCGTCCTTTTCGTCTTTTTCGTTCTTTCCGTCGTTTTCGTCCTATTCGTCGTTCTTTTCGTCCTTTTCGTTATTTTCATCCCTTTCGTATTTTTCGTCATTTCGTCCTATTCGTCCTTTTCGTTTTCCGCCGTTTTTCGTTCTTTTCGTCCCTTTTTGTCTTTTTCGTTCTTTTCATCCTCATGGTCTATTTTCGTCCGTTTTGTCCTTTTTCGTCCTTTTTGTCTTTTTTTGTTCTTTCTCGTCCTTTACGTACTTTTTGTCGTTATTCGTCCTTTTTGTCTTTTTTCGTTCTTTTTCGTCCTTTGCGTACTTTTTGTCCTTGTTCGTTCTTGTCCTTTTTCGTCCTTTTTTGTCCTTCTTCGTGCTTTTCGTCCTTTTTCATTCTTTTCGTGCTTTCCGTCCTTTTTCGTCCATTTTCGTACTTTTCGTCCTTATCGTCCTTTTTCATGCTGTTCGTCCTTTTCTTCCTCGTCCTTTTTATCCCTTTTCGTCCTTTTTCGTACGTTTCGCCTTTTTCGTCCTTTTCGTCCTTTTGCGTCCTTTTTCGTCCTTTTTCGGTTTTTTTCGTCCTTTCTCGGCCTTTTCGTCCTTTTTCCTTCTTTTCCGTCCGTTTTTGGCCTTTGCCGTCTTCTACGCCTTTTGTCGTCCATTTTCGTCCTTCTTAGTCCTCATCGTCTTTTTTCGTCCTTCTTCGTCCTCTTTCGTTCTTTTTCGTCCTTTCCGTCCTTTTTCGTTCATTTTCGTCCTTCTTGGTTCCTTTCCGTCCTTTTTCGTCCATTTTCGTCCTTGGTTCTTTTTCGTCCTTATTTGTCCTTTTCGTCCTTTTCGTCCTTTTTCGTTCTTATTATCCTTTTTCGTCCTTTTTTGTCCTTTTCTTCCTTTTCGTCCTTTTTCGTCTGTTTTTGTCCTTGTTCGTCCTTATTCGTCCTTTTCGTCCTATTTCGTCCTTTGCGTCCTTTTTCGTCCTTTGCGTCCTTTTTCGTCCTTTTTCATCCTTTTCGTCCTCTTTCGTCCTCTTTCGTCCTCCTCGTCCTGTTTATCCTTTTTCGTCCTTTTTTCGTTCTTATTATCCTTTTTTGTCCTTTTGTGTCCTTTTCATCCTTTTAGTCCTTTTTCGTCCTTTTTGTCTGTTTTTGTCCTCTTTCGTCCTTTTCGTCTGTTTTCGTTCTTTTTCGTCCTTTTTTGCCCTTATTATCCTTTTTCATCCTGTTTCGTCCTTTTCGTCCTGTTCGTCTTTTTTCGTCCTTTTTCGTCCTTTTCGTCTGTTTTCGTCCTTTTCATCCTCTTCGTCCTTTTTCGTCCTTTTTCTTCCTTCTTGGTCCTTTTTCCTCCTTTATCGTCCTTTTTCGCCCTTATTATCCTTTTTCGTCCTTTATCGTCCTTTTTCCTACTTTTCGTCCTGTTCGTCCTTATTCGTCCTTTTTCGTCCTTTTCGTCCTTTCTCGTTCTTATTATCCTTTTTCGCCCTTTTTTGTCCTTTTCTTCCTTTTCGTCCTTTTTCGTCTGTTTTTGTCCTTTTTCGTCCTTATTCGTCCTTTTCGTCCTTTGCGTCCTTTTTCGTCCTTTGCGTCCTTTTTCGTCCTTTTTCATCCTTTTCGTCCTCTTTCGTCCTCCTCGTCCTGTTTATCCTTTTTCGTCCGTTTTTCGTTCTTATTATCCTTTTTTGTCCTTTTGTGTCCTTTTCTTCCTTTTAGTCCTTTTTCGTCCTTTTCGTCTGTTTTTGTCCTTTTTCGTCCTTTTTCATCCTTTTCGTCCTTGTTCGTCCTTTTCGTCTGTTTTCGTCCTTTTCGTCGTTTTCGTCGTTTTCGTCCTTTTTCGTCCTTTTACGTCCTTTTCTTTCTTTTCGTCCTTTTTCGTCCTTTTCGTAGTTTTCGCCCTTTTTCGTCGTTTTCGTCTGTTTTTGTCCTTTTTCCTCCTTTTCGTCCTTATTGACCTTTTTCGTCCTTTTCGTCCTTTTTCATCCTTTCCGTCCTTGTTCGTCCTTTTCGTCTGTTTTCGTCCTTTTCGTCGTTTTCGTCCTTTTTATCCTTTTTCGTCCTTATTATCCTCTTTCATCCTTTTCGTCCTTTTTTGTCCTTATTCCTACTTTTCGTCCTGTTCGTCCTGTTCGTCCTTTCTCGTCCTTATTCGTTCTTTTTCCTCCTTTTTCGTCCTTTTTGTCTTTTTTCGTTCTTTTTCGTCCTTTACGTACTTTTTGTCCTTATTCGTCCTTGTTGTCCTTTTTCGTCATTTTTTGTCCTTCGTGCTTTTCGTCTTTTTTCATCCTTTCCGTGCTTTCCGTTCTTTTTCGTCCATTGTCGTACTTTTCGTCCTTATCAAGTAGTTTATTATTTATTTTATCGTCCTTTTTCGTGCTGTTCGTCCTTTTCTTCCTCGTCCTTTTTATTCCTTTTCGTCCTTTTTCATACTTTTCGTCTTTTTTCGTCCTTTATGTCCTTTTGCGTCCTTTTTCTTCCTTCTTGGTCCTTTTTCGTCATTTTCGTTCTATTTCGTCCTTTTTCGTCTTTTTCGTCCTTTTTCGCCCTTTTCGTTCTTCTTCCTTCTTTACCGTCCTTTTTCGTCCTTCTTGGTTCTTTTTCGCCCTTGTCATTTTTTGTCCTTTTTCCTACTTTTCGTCCTTTCCGTCCTTTTTCGTCCACTTTCGTCCTTTTTGGTCCTTTTCGTCCTCTTCGTCTTTTTTCGTCCTTCTTCGTCCTCTTTCGTCCTTTCCGTCCTTTTTCGTCCATTTTCGTCCTTCTTGGTCCTTTTTCGTCCTTTTTCATCCGTTTCGTCCTCTTTCGTCCTTTTCGTCCTCTTTCGTCCTTTTCGTCCTGTTTATCCTTTTTCGTCCTTTTCGTCCTATTTCGTTCTTATTATCCTTTTTCGTCCTTTTTTGTCCTTTTCTTCCTTTTCGTCTTTTTTCGTTCTTTTCGTATGTTTTTGTCCTTTTTCGTCCTTGTTCGTCTGTTTTCGTCCATTTTCGTCCTTTTCGTCGTTTTCATCCTTTTTATCCTTTTTCGTGCTTGTTATCCTTTTTCATCCTTTTCGTTCTTTTTCCTACTTTTCGTCGTATTTGTCCTTTCTTGTCCTTTTTCCTCCTTTTTCGTCCTTTTCGCCCTTCTTCGTCCTTTTAGTCCTTTTTCGTCTTTTTTCGTCCTTATTATCCTTTTTCGTCCTTTTTGGTCCTTCTTCATCCTTTTCGTTTTTTCTTGCGTCCTTTTCGTCCTTCTTCGTGCTTTTCATCCTATTCGTGCTCGTTCTTTCCGTTTTTTTTTTTCATCCTTTTCGTAATTTTTTATCCCCTAATCCTCAAAACACCATAATCCTTAAATCCTCAAAACACCAGAATCCCCAAATCCTCAGAAGACCAGAATCCTTAAATCCTCATTTGAGGATTTCCTCAGAACATCATAATCCTCAAATCTTCAATACACCAGAATACTCATATTCTCAGAACACCAGAATCCTCAAATCCTCAGAACACCAGAATCCTCATATCTTCAGAACACCAGAATCCTCAAATCCTCAGAACACGAGAATCCTCATATCTTCAGAACACCGTAATCCTCAACATATAATAATCCTCAAATCCCCAGAACACCAGAATCCTCAAATCCTCAAAACACCATAATCCTTAAATAATCAAAACACCATAATCCTTAAATCCTCAAAACACCAGAATACTCATATTCTCAGAACACCAGAATCCTCAAATCCTCAGAACACGAGAATTCTCATATCTTCAGAACACCGTAATCCTCAACATATAATAATCCTCAAATCCCCAGAACACCAGAATCCTCAAATCCTTAAAACACCATAATCCTTAAATAATCAAAACACCATAATCCTTAAATCCTCAAAACACCAGAATCCTCAAATCCTCAGAAAATCAGAATCCTTAAATCCTTAAATCCTCAGAACATCATAATCCTCAAATCTTCAATACACCATGATACTCATATCCTCAGAACACCAGAATCCTCAAATCCTCAGAACACCAGAATTCTCAAATTTTCAAATCTTCAATACACCAGAATGCTCATATTCTCAGAACACCAGAATCCTCAAATCCTCAAAACACCATAATCCTTAAATCATCAAAACACCATAATCCTTAAATCCTCAGAACACCAGAATCCTCAAATCCTCAGAACATTATAATCCTCAAATTTTCAGAACACCAGAATCCTCAAATCCTCAAAACACCATAATCCGTAAATCCTCAGAACACCAGAATCCTCAAATCCTGAGAACATTATAATCCTCAAATTTTCAGAACACCAGAATCCTCAAATCCTAAGAACACTATAATCCTCAAATTTTCAGAACACCAGAATCCTCAAATCCTCAAAACAACAAAATCCCCAAATCCTCAGAACATCAAAATCATGCAGATCTCTATACCACAGTCTATACTGTGTCTTGTATATGTTGTTTATGCAACCAGTTATACACAAATTTACATAACATTTGTTACTTCGAAAAAATCATATTTCCCCAAAACTATTAAGCATTCTTTTACTACTTCTTGGTCTTCAGGAAAACTAGTTAGAAATAATAAAACATAAAACACGTTTTTATTCAAATTCATAACAAAAAACCACTAGCCAAACAAAACAAGAGCTTATATACAATCAAATCAACACCACCACACCCAACTAAACCCGAACCACACCCCCGATATGTCTTTTTCTGTGTTTATAAAAACACGGCCCATTTTTCGTCACGTACGGACAGTGTTCGCATTTGTACCACTTAGCATCAGCCCCATCCAAATGCCGGATATTAATATGCCGCTTTAAACTACCATTGTCTTTCGCCTTATACGGACAATACTCGCACTGATACGACCGCACCTCCACATGAACATTCACATGACACTTCAAATCACTCTTCGCTTTACTCTTATACGGACACCTCGCACATTCGTACCACTTCACTTCCTTCTCGTCCAAATGTCGCGCAATCACATGATTTTTCAAATGCGACGCCAGTTTAGTCTTGTAGGGGCAATCCTCGCACTCGTACCACTTAATCTCTTCTTCGGCTAGATGTTTGAGCGCGACGTGCGTCTTCAAGTACTTTTTATGCTTGGTTTTGAACGGACACTGGCTGCAGTTGTACCATTTAACTTCTTCTTCGTTCAAATGTAACGAATAAATGTGTCTGGTTAAACCGCACTGGGTTTTAGTCTTGAAGGGACACCTATCACAGGCGTACCTCTTGTCCGAGTCGTGCTTCTGGACGTGACGGTTTAAATTGCTTTTGAATTTAGTTTTGTAGGAACATTGGGAACAATGTCGCCAACGGACTGTGTCAGACTGGTTGTAAGTTCGAAGATTTTCTGGCTTTGCAGTGCACCCCAAAATGTGCTGAAACCACTTGAGGGAGAAATGTGTTTCCGACTTGCACTTATCGCAGACGTAGTTTTGTACGTGGAAACGATCTGTACACTCTTTTTTAACACAGTGATAGTTATTAATGTGTTGTTTGAACAAAACTGTCAGTTCGGTTTTAAAATCACAGTCTTTGCAGAAATAGGTTTCAATTTTGGCGTCTGAACATGTAAATTCTTCCAGGGATGAGCGGTGTCGTCTCACGTGGTTAACCATAAAGAGTGAGGTGGTAAAATATGGGCAGCGGTTACAGTTGTGGACGTTTTTCCACGAAGATCTGCCCCAAACCCCGGTTTCGGAATACTCCAAAATCGACATTTTTTTCTTGGAACAGGGTTAATTACTGACCGTTTTGGACAAATTTCATCGTTAATTAAGGCAACGAGCCCCAACTATTTAATAATTTGTTAATAAAAGTCTGCATTGGTTGACATAACCTCAAAAATTGAAACAACCAGGTAACAACGAACAGGTGAGCTCGTTCAAATGTCACTACGTCACGACTATTTAACACAAAAAATACATTAATATTTGATTTTTTATTTATTCGAGTCACAAAATTGCTAAATTCCGCACGCGTTCCGTCTGTGTCTATAAAAAGACGCTCCACTTTTACTCTTGTAAGGACAGCGTTCGCATTTGTACCATTTCGCTTCGGCTCCATCTAAATGTCGACAATTTATGTGAGTTTTTAAATCGTCGCTGCGTTTCGCCTTGTATGGACAATACCCGCACTGATACGACTTCGTTTCTAAATGCACTTTTAAGTGCTTGGTTAAGTCACATTGTTTTTTACTTTTGTAGGAACAGTTCGCACATTCGTACCACTTGGCTTTGGCTTCGTCCAAATGTTGACAATTTATGTGACTTTCTAAAAGCTCGGGTTGTTTAGTTTTGTATGGGCAGTTGTTACATTTGTACCACTCGATTTTTTCGCCGGAATGTTTAGCAGTGACGTGAGCGTCCACAGACCGTTTATACTTGGTTTTGAATTGGCATTGGTCGCATTCGTACCATTTAACGTCCGCGTCGCTTAAATGTAAGTAGTTTGTGTGGTTTTTTAAGCTACTTTTTAGTTTGGTTTTGAACGGGCACTTGTCACATTCGTACCACTTAACTTTTTCTTCGGCTGGATGTTTCGCGGTTACGTGTTGGTTTAAATCGCCTTCGTCCCTAGTAAAAAACGGACACTGTTGACATTCGAACCACTTGATTTTGGCTTCATCTAAATGCCGACTGTTTATGTGGGTTTTTAAATTCTCTGCCCGTTTAGTTTTATATAAACACAGTTTACATTTGAACCACTTAATTTTTTCGTCCGAATGTTTCACCAACACGTGCGTTTTTAAATGTTTTTTATATTTAGATTTGAAAGGGCAGTCGTTACATTCGAACCATTTAATATCCTCGTCGTTCGCGTGCATGAACTGTACGTGTTTTTTTAAACTACTTTCCAACTTGGTTTTAAAAGGACAATGTTCACATTGGTGCCACTCAACTTTTTCCTCGTCTAGATGTCTCGTAGTTACGTGCTTGTTTAAATATATTTTGTACCTAGTTTTAAACTGGCATTGTTTGCATTCGTACCATTTAACGTCTTCCTTGTTCGGATGTAAGTTGTATATGTGGGTTTTCAATACCGGTTTTAGTTTGGTCTTGAATGGACACTTTTTGCATTCGTACCACCTAACTTTTTCTTCATCTTGGTGTTTTGCGGTTACGTGTGACTTTAACGACTGTTTATACTTGGTTTTGAACGGACACTCGGTGCATTCGTACCATTTAATGTCGCCTTCGTTCAAGTGTAAGTTGTTCATGTGTCTGCTCAAGTGACTTTTTATTCTAGTTTTGAAAAGACATTTTTGGCACTTGTGCCATTCACCGTCTTGCTCATCCAAGTGGACCATCTTTAGGTGGATTCTTACGGAAGTTTTCCACCTGCTTTTAAATGGACACTTGCCGCATTCGTACTGTTTGTTTAAATGGCGACTTTCAATGTGAAGTTTTAGGTTACGTTTGAATTTGGCTTTGTAGCTACATTCTGGACAGTAGTACCAATTTTTATTTTTTTCTGTACATTGTGAAGTGTGTCGCAGCCACTTTAACGACAAATTTGTTTGGAAGTGGCAATTTTCGCAAACGTAGTTTTGTAAAACAAAGTCCTCACTTGATTCTCTTTTAAGTCCGTGGTGATTATTAATGTGTAACTTGAATAGAACCGACAGTTCCGATTTAAAATCGCAGTCTTTGCAATAGTAATGTTCCATTTCGGCCTCTGAGCACGTAAATCGTTCCAGGGGGGCGCGGTGTCGTCTCACGTGGTTCACCATAAAGAAATACGACGTCGTGAAATACAGACATAGGTTACAGTTGTGGACGTTTTTCCATGACGACTTTCCCGGTGCTATGAATGTTTCCGAGTATTCCAAAATTGCCATTTTGACTAAAATTGTTTGATTTCACTACTGAAAGAGTCGCAGTTTGATTACTTACCGAAATCTAATCTCGAGCATACAGCATTTGTGCATAAGAACATTCAGGACTGCCAACTTCGAAAAACAGTTGGCCTGAAGAAATCCCTAACCCTAGTGTCATTACAAAAAGGCGGGAAAGGCAAAATATCATTAATTGCTGTCACTATAGTTTTAATTTTGTTACTTCCAGGAATAGACATTTTAGGCGTTTTCACCGTGATCAAAGTGTTGGTAGGATTTGCAAAACAAAGATTTTTTGTCCAATGTGTGGGGATGAACTAGAGAGAAATTTGAAATCCCACGAAGAACTCAAAACTCAGCTTGAAATAAAGCATAATATAACATTAGAGGTAGAAGAATTGATACTAAGTCATGAAGATTTTAAAAATTGGATTTGCGACGAACGAAGAGATGTTAAATATATTAGTCGAAAGCAAAAGAAAGATGTGCGTTACCGCTATCAGCTGATATATTATAACTGCAACAGAAGCTACAATGGTACATTATTATTGTAATTTGTTAAGAATATATTGTATTATTGGACATTTTAGGCTATGAAAGTAAAGCGTTTAAGAGATTTCCAAAGGCAGGGGGTAGTAAGAAAATCTGTGGTACTTGTCCATCAAGAATCACTGCAAAAATTTTTGATGAAGGTATGTTATCTATGTGCACACTTTACTGTATATTAATTGCATCAATTGTTTATAGGAACAGTGAAAATTAAATATATAAAAACACATGTAGGACATGAAGATGAGCTGAGATATCAAGGGTTGACAAAAAATGAAAAACAAGAAATTTATTCAAAATTGAAGAATGAAGTATGTAAAAAGAGAATATTAGAAGAAGCTCGGACCATTAAAGGGAATAAATTGGAAAGACTACACTTACTAACAAAAATGGATTTGAGAGACATGAGTCGAAGTTTATCAAAAACTAGAAATGCTGATGATATGGCTGCAACACACAATAAAGGTTTTCCATGAATGGAATCAAAGTGGCCAAAATTATGGGTTTTTATTTAAACAAATTGGTAATGTATATGATTTATTATTTTGTTAGCATGTGGTTTTTTTACAATTAAAATTTTTGTTTAAAATCTGTGAATTAAGAGAAATATTCATGCATGTAGATTGTAGTTGGTGGTGTTGGTTGTTTAGCACATGCTTAGCTTGGCTTGTAGGGGAAAGGCATTCCATTCTTGGAAATGAAGATTTTGCAGTGGGCTTTATGAACCAGGTGATGGAATCTAAATTGAAACAATTCACAAATATTATTTGTATGGATGGGACGCACAACACAAATATTAGAGGATGGGAGTTAACAACAGTTTTAGTTAAAGATGATAGGGGTGTTGGTTTTCCCGTTGCATTTTTAGTGTCTAGTAGAAAATATCAGTTAATTTTTGAAATTTTTTTAGATGCTTTAAAGAAAAAAGTTGGTGAAAAATTATGTCCCACCTATTTTATGACAGATGATGACCCAAAATATTATAATGCATGGATAAACGTTATGGAAACAAAACCAAGACATTTATTGTGTAGTTGGCATATTAGAAAAAATTGGAACATTCAAGCAAAATTAAAAAATACAGAATTGAAGAAAAATATGAAGACCGAGATGGGAAAAATTTTAAAGGAAACAAATGAAGATAAATTTAAAGAGCTATACGACAGTTATTTTCAGATACTTTTTGAAGCGGGGGAAATTAATTTTTTGAATTATTTAAAAAAACATTATTTTCGGAATATGGAACGTATTAAAATGTGGGCTCACTGTTACAGACTAAATGCTGGGATTAATACAAATATGGCAATTGAAAGTCTGAACAAATTTATTAAATATGATGAGTTGAATAAGAAGAGAAATAATACAATAGAGAAGTTATTGGAAATGTTAGACAGAGTAGTGGAAGACAAGGAATGGAACAGAATAATAGAAACAGAAAGACCTTCTACAGAAACGTATCAAAGCAGAATTGTAAGAGACAGACATAGAAAAGCAGAAAATTTACAAAATATGGTGGAGGAAGTTGGTTTTGGAGAGTTTTCAGTAAGATCTAATTCCAGTAAGATTTATAAGGTTGTGCATGGAGACAGAGTGTGTAGAAATGATTGTAGGCTCATGTATTGTGTAGTTTGCCAAATCTGTTTGCATCATTACAAATGCCAGTGTCCTGAGTTTATGGTAAAAAATAACATGCATATGGTTGCTTTGTTTGAAAGGGAACGGTATGAATGTGGGTTAGGGCAGACTAAAGACACTTTTACAGATATAGAAGAACATAATTATTGGAAAAGAGTATTAATGGAAACAGAAAATGAACACAATCATTGTGATATGCACAAAAATGAAGAAATAAAAATGTTAATAGAAAATAATCAGCAAACACCGTTGCCTTTGGATGATGAAACTTTTCGAAAATTAAAGCAGGAGTCACTTAATAACACTTTGAATGCACTTAACATAGATGATTTTAAAGAACTGATGAGCAATATTGATGGATGGTTAAGAAAAAAAAAACGAGAAGACTTTAACAAAGAAAAGAGTGCAAGAGACGCAGCAATATTATCCCGTAAGTGAACAAATATGAAGCACCACTAGAGAAATGAGTGGATTTTTGTAACATGGGTTATTAATAGGTTCTCATAGAATCACCTTTATAAATAATAGGATGAAAATTTTATTTCTACAATTTAGTAATTATAATTTTTATTACTGCTACTATTACTATGTATTTTTCTGTTAGGTAAAGATGAATTCTGTTGTTGTATTTTTTGTTGATTCAGATTATTTCTATAAAGCAAATACACATTTTTTACAAATACATTTCTATTTTATGCGTTTTTTGTATGTTACGCTTGATTGAAATAGCACATTAATTAATAAAAAAAAACTAAAGTTGTATTATTAAGTTTCATTATGTTGGGTAAAAGAAGCAACAATCATATACAATTATAATCACATACGTTGGTTATTCAATGCAAGTAGGTATGTCTGGAGGAAAGCATGATTATACAGTTTTTGGTGTGACCTTAAGTACATTAATATTAAATTTTAAGGCAGGTTATACGCAAACACAAACGATGATCAACTTATTATGAATTATATTTATCATTTCGATACTAATTCTGTTATGATAAGTGGGGGTTAATCCTTTTGGTAATTCGCCGAGATTACATATATTTCAATTTACCACATTTTTTAAATGACAAGTGTAAACACCTACGTTTGAATTTACCGGGTTTTTCAATGACAGCTCAGGCATGCGCATACATACAGGTTTTTAGGCACAAATACCGTATGCTCTCGTCAAATATTGGAACAACGTGTCCTTACCAAAGATATATACATATCTCTGGTCCTTACCCAACCGTTTTTAGTAAGCGGGATTTTTGAAACGAAGTGGAATATTGGTTGCCTAAATTACAAATACAGCTCGTCCATAAAATAATGTAAAAGGAACTGATATCATAAACATCGGATGAATATTAATAAACTGAGACCAATTTTTGGAGTGTGGTATGAGACTACGAAAAAAATACCATTTTGAACAATAAAAAAGAATTGTGATTATATTTATTTTATTCATTAATAAAAGTCACTTTACCAAGTTAATTTCAACATAAACGTATCAACTACCTATTTTCTACCAACTCAATTTTACCTTCATGTGGCCGATGTATAAAAGTAGCCCTCGTTACTGTGTCCATACCAGCATACCGCACCCCTTCGCCCTGTGTACAGTTTCCACAAGATTATTTATTCTATGTATTTCTTCGAACGCGCATTTTATATTCAGTAAAAATAATAAGTCACAGTTACAATATTAAATAGCAAACATCTAAAATGTCAAATTTGACGCACAATGTTGACATGGTGGTAAATTTTATTTTGTAACAAGGTTTGCCACTACAATTTCAAGCCAAAATTCAAGGTCATGTCCTTACCCAACGGTCGATTATTGTTGTTCTGGTCCGTTACGTGTATTTCTTATGGGGCTTTCAAAAGCTGTCATTACTGTATGATATTCTGTGGTTATAGTTATAGTTATAGTAATCAGTGTCTTAGCAGGTACTAGCCCCGCTCACCCACCCTCTCTTTTCTTAGAGGGTATGTAATTTGCCAAAATCAGTTTTATCTGATCTAGCTAGTACTTATTTGCTAAGATAATACTGATTTTGGCAAATCACATACCTTCCAAGAAAAGAAAGGGTGGGTGGGCGGGGCTAGTATTTGATAAGATAAAATTGATTTTGGCATTTTTGACATTTTCGACCAATTTTCGAAATACTTGAAAACATTTTCTTGTAGATTTCGACATCCAGAAGTCATTTTCGGCTTCATTTCTTCGGAAATTCCTACCGTTTTTCCAAATCGCCAACTTAAGTATAGCAATGTTTACAGTTCCGTCAAAATAGCTCGGTATAAAAATTTTGCAGATATGCAGATAAGAAAAGCAATACTTATTAATTTCTGCTTCATACAATACAATCATTTTAAGAATGTACTTTGTGGTTTTTACATACTCACAGAAATGTTTAAAATTTGTTTATTTAAGACAATAGAAAAGTCAGAACAGGACAGGTCACGTTAGGTCAACAACATTTTCGAAATAATTGAACTCATTTTCTTGTAGATTTCGATATCCAGTTTTTGAGTTGATTTTGGAACCCCGTTTTTTTTTTTGAAAAATTTAAAACAATCTTGAGGTTCTAGGAAAGAATTTAAAAGTGCTTCGGGGCCTCTAATGTCATATATTATAATAATTTAATTAAATTTCTTAAAGGATAAGTCATTTGCCAAAATCACTCTTATTTTATTAGGTGCTAGCCCCGCCCACCCACCCTCTCTTTTCTTAGAGGATATGTCATTTGCCAAAATCAGGACTTTTAGAATTTTTTGAAAGGTTTGAAACCTTTTAAATATTTCAAACATTTGTAAACTTTGGAATTTTTAGAATATCTACAATCTTAAGATTGTGTAAACTTTTGAAAATTTGAGATTCAATATTTTTTATTTTGTTTTAATTTTTGGGGATTTTCGTAATTTGCAAGATTTTCGAAATTCCCAGAATGTTCAGATTTTCCAAATTAGCCCGGTTTTTCAGATTTTCCGAAGTAAACAAAATGACCAGAATTTCCACATCTTCCAAAATTTCTAAAATTATCAGGCTCCAGTTATACCAGAATTTTGAAATTCAACCTTTACCAATAGTTTCAAGACTTCTCACACTTTCTAAATTTTTTCAGATTTTCTAAAATTTATAGAACTCAGAAGTCTAAATCTTTGGAATTTTTGGAATCTTTGAAATCTTTACAGTCTCCAAGATTTATAAAATAATAATTAGGGTGTTCAAGGCCTTCAGTGCTTTTAGGATTTATAAAAATTAAAGAACGCATTTTTAGGTCTTTAAGATTTTTGTTTTCTTTAAAGTCTTTGGAATTTTTTAAATCTTTGGTATTTTAAGAGTTCACGCGATTTTTATGAGTTTTAGAATCTTTGGCCTTCTGGAATTTCTCTATAACCTTTAGAATCTTTCAAGTATTCGAAACAGAATTTTAGTTCTGACCCCTTAGAGTCCTTAGAATCTTGAGACCCTTTAGAGCCTTTCCAGTGTGCTAAAATTTCTGCAATTTCTAGGATCATTAGTACCCCCAGGTTCTTTAAAATTTTTAAGATTTCGTTGGATTTGTTTTATATTTGGAACATTAGAACTTTAGTTTATTTAGAATCTTAAGTGTCTTTACAATTCGCAGTTTCTAGTGTATGTAATATGTGAAAGCTTTTATACACTCACCGGCAAAAAAATCGAATCATTAGTATTTTTGTAGAAATCTTCAATAAATTCTGGTGTGCGTCACATTTATAAGACAAATTAGTTTATCTAGGACAAAGGAGATGAGAAGGTAACGGGACCTTCGCTGAAGTTGCAACAATTACGAGTTTATTAAAAAATACCAAAAAATCCATTACGTTAAACCAACAAAAGACTACTTAACATATCATTATTAACGACTGTTGCCGCCTCTAGCTTGCATTACGGTTGCCATACGTCTTCCCATGCCTTCTATGAGGTGTCTAATCTCAGCCTGGGCTAATTGGTCAAATTTTTCAACTAGCGCATCTGCAAGATCTCTTATGTATTGTACGGCCGGCACACGTGCTCTGATACGTCTACCTAACATGTCCCACACATGCTCAATTGGATTCGGTGCTGGTCATTCCATACGTGAAATCCCCAATTCGTCGAGGTAGGTTTGTACAACTCTAGCGATATGTGGTCTAGCATTATCATGCACTAGCTGACCCCGTGAACTTCGTTTCACCCACAATTTAATTTTGAATCTTCAAAACCGAATGCGTTGAAATCTTGCAGATGTTTTAAACATATAATAAGCATAATACATATTTTTTTTTTCAAAATATATTTACTTATTCCCTCCAAAAAATTGATGACGTCAGCCGAAAATTTTGCCAATTGAATCCTATCTAAAATGTCCAAAATAGGATGAGACTATACTTGTGATTTATCATTCCATTCATATTTTTTAGTTTTGCTTAGAGGAGGTGTGTCAAAAAAATTAATCACTGAGTCAATTTATTTTATTGATTGAATCAAGAATTGCAAAACTGAATTTTGAAATATAGCAGACTTTTTGAAGTTTCTGCTTGGCATGGTAGGTTTTTAATCAAAATATATCTGTTTATCAAGCCCAAAAACTTGATGACGTCATTTCAAGATTTTGCCGAAAAAATCCTGTCTAAAATGTGCCAAATATCATCAATATATTTTCGTAATTTATCACTGCATTCATATTTTTTGGATCTGCTTTTACAGTGACTCGAAAAAATGTATGGATCAGTCAATTTATTTTAGAGAATAACTCAAGAGTTGAAGAAATTACTTCTTTGAGATCTTGCAGACGTTTTAAAGTTATTATAAGCATGGTAAATTGTTAAGAATATTTACTTATTCCCCCCAAAAAATTGATGGAAAGGCCCACTCGATTTTCGCAGATAATTTTGGAAATACAATACAGTTATTTTTAGTATTACACTGCACCAATCCAAGATGGTATACGTGTTGATCGTAAATGTTGATTAGGTCATCACAAAATTGTGTGAAGAAAAGACTCAACTCGAAAATGCTGAATATGTTTCATTATACTTTTGGTGCGAAGGAAGTTCTGTCCAAACAACGTTCGATCAAATTTTTGACAATGGTTGATATAAATGAAACTCAGTAGATGCTCATACTCGAAATACGAAGTATCTACTCGAATATCAAATCAAAATATTTCTAGTTTTTCTAGATGATGCTAATACTTCAGTAGGTAACAGTTGATGCTCAAGTAGTATCTCGATACAACAAAAACGGAAAACAGTGACAGTGTTCAACCATCAAGGCAAAAATCGAGTCACCAAAATATCAGTTAATATGGGGTAGACACCTTGAGTTGGGATTCTCTATGGTCAGTGTTAGAAAGAACGCACTGCACAATTTATGCATAAATAAAACTAATTATCTTACGACTTCAGTTTTAATTTATCGGATTCCGTGATTCCTTCACTCGACAATGTTTAAATTTTGGGAAAATTTTCGAAACGATTGAAGTCGGTTGATCAAAGCTATACATTTGCATGATATAAATTAATAAATTTTAAACACAATTAATATCACTTATAATGTTTAAATATGATAAGCATAAATATATATGATAATTAAACCGAAAATCGTTGTCCTAAAAGCCCGAAATTATTAAAAACAAATCAATTTGTTTAAACATTATTAAATTATTCCCGAAAATGTGCAATTTCCCGGCCAAAA